AGCTCACCTCGCATCCGTCACGCGCTTCTGCTGCTCGATATGGAGTCCTCATCCACCGTCGGCAGCACTGCGACCCGCCAGCCTCAACATTAGTACCCCCCTCGAAACGGCTCAAACAAGAAAAAAGGTGCGCTCCTTGGCCAACACCAAATGGCAGCCGGCCCCCTGGTCACAATTTTCGGCGCACGTCACAACAAAGCTCACCTCGCATCCTTCACGCGCTTCCGCTGCTCGATATGGAGTCCTCATCCATCGTTGGCCGCCCTGCGACCCCGCCAGCCCCACCATTAGCGCCCCCTCGAAACGGCTCAAAAAAAACAAAAAGTGCGTGGGCTCCTTGGCCAACACCAAATGGCAGCCGGGCCCCTGGTCACAATTTTCGGTGCACGTCAAAACAAAGCTCACCACGCATTCTTCGCACGCTTCCGCTGCTCAATCGGAAGTATTCATCCACCTGTGACTATCCTGTGACACGACAGCCCAACCATTAGCACCCCCCTCAAGGGCAAAAAAAAACCAAAGGCGCGCCTTGGCTCCTTGGCCAACACCAAATGGCAGCCGGGCCTCTGGTCACAATTTTCGGCGCACGTCAAAACAAGGCTCACCTCGCATTCTTCGCACGTTTCCGCTGCTCGATATGGAGTCTTCATCCACCGTTGGCCGCCCTGTGACCCGCCAGCCTCACCATTAGTACCCCCCCTCGAAACGGCGAAAACAAAGCAAAAGGTGCGCTCCTCGACCAACACCAAATGGCAGCCGGGCCCCTGGTCACAATTTTCGACGCACGTCAAAACAAGGCTCACCACGCATTCTTCGCACGTTTCCGCTGCTCGATATGGAGTCTTCATCCACCGTTGGCCGCCCTGTGACCCGCCAGCCTCACCATTAGTACCCCCCCCTCGAAACGGCGAAAACAAAGCAAAAGGTGCGCTCCTCGACCAACACCAAATGGCAGCCGGGACCCTGGTCACAACTTTCGGCGCACGTCAGAACAAAGCTCACCTCGCATTCTTCACACACTTGCGCTGCTCAACATGGGGTCCTTATCCACCTACGGCTACCTTATGACATGTTGGCCCCATCATTAGTACCCCCCTCAAGGGCAAAAAAAAACAGAAGGCGCGCCTTGGCTCCTTGGCCAACACCAAATGGCAGCCGGCCCCCTGGTCATAATTTTCGGCGAGCGTCAAACAAAGCTCACCTCGCATTCTTCACACACTTCCGCTGCTCACCATGGGGTCCTCATCCACCGGCGTCTTCCCTGTGGCACGTTAGCCCCACCATTAGTACCCCCCTCAAAGCGGCCAAAAAAAAAAAAAAAAAAGGGGCGCGCCTGGGCTCCTTGGCCAACACGAAATGGCAGCCGGGCCCCTGGTCACAGCTTTTGGCGCACATCAAAACAAAGTTCACCTCGCATTCTTCGCACGTTTCCGCTGCTCACTATGGAGTCCTCATCCACCTGTGGCTATCCTGTGACCCGCCAGCCTCACCATGAGTACCCCCCTCGAAACGGCCAAAACAAACAAAAGGTGCGCTCCTCAGCCGACACCAAATGGCAGCCGGGCCAGTGGTCACAAGTTTCGGCGCACGTCAAAACAAAGCTCACCACGCATTTTTCGCACGCTTCCAGTGCTCAATGGGAAGTATTCATCCACCTGTGGCTATCCTGTGACACGACAGCCCCACCATTAGCACCCCGCTCAACGGCCAAAAAAAAACCAAAGGCGCGCCTTGGCTCCTCGACCAACACCAAATGGCAGCCGGGCCCCTGGTCACAATTTTCGACACACATCAAAACAAAGCTCACCTCGCATTCTTCACACGCTTCCAGTGCTCACTGTGGAGTCCTCGTCCACCGTTGGCCGCCCTGTGACCCGCCAGCTCCACCATTAGTATCCCCCCTCGAAACGGCCTAAAGGTGCGCTCGTCAGCCGACACCAAATGGCAGCCGGGCCCCTGGTCACAATCTCTGGCGCACGTCGAAAAAAAACACACATCGCAGTTTTCTCGCGTGCTCGGTCTTTATCATAAGGTCCTCATCCACCTGCGGCTACCCTGTGACACAGCACTACCGTCAGAAACGCCCGGCGATTCGCGCGTCAAAAATCGCAAAAATCACTCTTGCTCTTGACTCTGGCAGCGGGCAACATGGATAGCATCTTCAAAAGCGGGCCTAAGATCGGTTTCTCACCTGCATTTGAGCGGGAGTGCTTCGTGCCGGATCTGACCAGGCTCCGTGGCTCTTGGGCCTAGCTAGCGCGTCCATCAGCGCACGAGCCATCGCGGCTCTTCATGGGCAGATCGAGGAATTGTCTTGACAACAAATGGCAGCCCAACACGAGATCAGCAAGAATGGTCCATCCACGACGGTCACGCGGCAATGTCGTTTGGCCACCCGTACATCCATGTCGTCGCTTGCACCTCGGCAGCACTTGCCCGTCGCGCCACAACGACGACAACGCACCGCCCCGCCCATGGCCCGCTTCATCGTGGCGCGTCAGTGAGAAAAAAAATGAAGCCAAAAGCAAAGGGAGGGAAGAGAGGCAAGAGGTTAATGAAGCAAAGTTTCAATTAATTGAAGCAGATCATGGCCATTCCAAGTAAAAAGATGCAGTCGATTCAGCAGTTATTGAAGATACTAAAAGATGATGACATTCTGACATTCGGTTCTGTGTTCTGATTCTCAAAAAGAGCTTCCTGTGTGTGTGTTTAGCAAAAACTGTCAGGGCCGACTTGGGCTTTCGCCGCACTGGGGAGCAGGATCCTCGCACTTTCAAACACAAATTCCACAAGACGCCAATGCCCATCCCCCGGAGATAGACCAGGAACGGACGAGTACAGCCACTCGACAAACAAGTCGCGCGTTTTTAAATCCTTCAATGTCTGTACCCTCAAGTTGTAGCCCATCCGCTGGGCCAGGTCGCGCAGCCCCGAATGACAGTCCGAATAAAGGAGGAGACAGCTCAGGCCCGAATCCAGTCCTTGAGACTGCCTGCAACGGTAATTACGTGTATCCCATCCACGAATCCCCTTTGGCATTCCACAAGCGTAGCAGCACGTCCATTTGGGATATTTGAAGCCCACGAAACATTCACTTGTCTCGTGTCCTTCGAAGTGACACCGCTCACAACCAGGATTAGATACGCATTGATCTCCAGCCTTCAGGACGGGTTTCGCCTGTCGAATGGTACATCGCATGCAGTAATCATCCATCAACTTCAGAACGCCAATAAACTTGTCAGCCGCCGCGTAGTTCATCAGATATTTTTTTTCTGTCCCCGACTTCGACCGAAATATTGGCGCGACGTTGTGCCGATTCGGTGGCGTAGCCGCAGCAGATACCGGGGCTTCAGAGCGAGTGGTAGCAGTAGCGGCAACGGTAGCGATGCGCGTGCCACTTAATGCTGCTCGTTTTGCTGCGGGAAGAGGCGACTCTGCTGCTTGAACCGCTGTTGAAGAAGCAAGAACCAGGTGAGTTGCTGAAATCATACGATGTGGCAATCAGTGCCAATCTGAAGACTTCGACTCTACACGCCCACATGTCGTACTTCGCAAAGCAAGTCGCCGCCGACGCTTGCAACACTTGCAAAACCATTGACATTGCTCAGGGCTTCATTATGCTACCCTCCACAGCAAAACGACCAATGAGATGCTTGACATCACACAATCATTCTATGAGCCAACGCCAGGCGCTGACAACATACACTGAGGCCCAAGTCCCCGCCAATGCTGGTAAGACTCTGGAACCCATTGACGTTTGTCAGTTTGCGATTATACTGTTCGTGTTGACAGAACGTCCGATGAGTCAGCAGACCACGATCCCAATGATTGAGTTATGGACGCCAAGTTCCGACTGAGCGTGCCGGCGCAACGTACGCCCAAGGAAACGTCGCCGCCGACGCTTGTGATATTCGCAAGCCCGTCGATGTTGATCAAGCCATTATTGTCCTGCCCATCACACAGAAAAAAAAATAAAAAAAAAATTAAAGGTTGAGATTGACCACAATCTCAATCGAAGCACGCCAGCATGCGACCTTGACGCTAAGCTTGCAAACGACTTACATTCAAGCAGACATTGCCAGGAATGCTTGTAAGACCCGAAAGCCCATCGACATTGATCAGATCATCATTGGACTACTCAAGTTGGCATGTTACCCATTGAATCTCTGCGATGGCACGCTAGATCCGCAATCACAAAGGACACACCGACACGTGCATGCAGCTCCAAGTGGCCACCGATGCTTGTAAGACTTCTCAACCCGTCGACATTGGTAAGAGCGTTATTGTGCTAACAGAGGCTTGAGGCACATTCCAATGCCACCGAGTTTACGCAAGGGCCAAATCTGCGACCTCGACATACGACGTACTGCCAGGTTCAAAACGCCGCCAATGCTTGTGATGTTTGCAAGCCCATTGATGTCGACAAGGCCAGAAATATACTGTCCAAGCAAGACAACCAATGACCACAAGCCCAGCCGATCATTCCCCCCCCAAAAAACCAAAGGGTTTGACTTACACCGAGGCTAAAGAAGCCACCAACAGTTAGGGTTCTTTTCAATCCATCGACATTGGTAACTGCATCATTGAACTGCCGAGGCGAGTAGAATGACTGATGAGACGTATCCAAAGACAGCCAAGAGGGTTGGCTGCTTATGCTTGAAGCTCACGCGTCTTTCAGATCCTCTCCTCAACTCGAAAGCCGATCATCCAGTGAGGTCAAATCCAAGCACACGGCGGCGCCTCGTCACTTACATAGATTCGAAAGTTGCCACTCACGTAAACAAGCTTGCTGAAAATGAGCAGATCCGTCGACCTCAGTTGTACACACTCATCAAGCAAGAAGCTGCCTTGAATATGTGTCACGCCCGAGGGAACATTCTCCAGCTGACATCCAACTGTGCCAAAGTGTGTCACGTTTGTGTTTGCGGGCGCGGTCGTGGTGGTGAGGACCGTGCTGGCAGTCGTGGTAGTGGAGGCCGTGGTGGGGACCGTTGTGGTGGAGGCCGTTGTCGTCCTGCCAGCATAGAGCCTCCGCAGATCAGCCAACTCTTGGATCACATCAACACCGTTGAGCAGCAGCCGCGCATCCCCGCCCGAGGATGAGCTGTTGATGAAAAGGTTGCCATCCACATCGACTCCAATGGTTGGCTCGGCACTAGCCAGATTGGCGCAAACCACGCCCTGAACCAGTACTGCAACCAGGCAGCGCACGATACCACGCAACACCATGCTAGCCAGCCTGGAAAAAACGTGCAAAAAAAAAAAAATCACATGTCACGTTGCAGCTATCACACAATGACCCACACTTTTTATACACTTTCGCACACAACGACCCACCCAAAAATGTCATAAAAATCCAAAAGTGACCAAAAAATCGCGATAAAGCCTGGCACTTACGAGATGGTCGTTCTGAAATGTCGATTCCGGTGCTATGGCGCTCAATAGGGCCACCATCAGGCTCACTCAGAGTAGCGAGAACATGTGTATCATCTGATTCTGGTTTCAAAACATTTTCGCACGATTTTCGTGCCACATCTTGCTGCAAACCATCCAACCATGCCAACGGCAAAGTACCCGTAATTGCACCTCCAGCTTGCACTGTGACCGAGGTCACACGTGTGTGCGCGCCCCCGTCACCATCTGGCTCTGTTTCGTTGTTTCTCTCGTCGGTTCTTCCTCAATTTTCTTTTCGTCTGTTTGGGCTCGAGAACAACTTCACTCAAGCAAACCCATGTGGGGACGTCGATTGAAACAAGCCAGTCATTCCTCAAGAACATGGATTCTCAACACTTGGTCTTTCAATCCTGATCAAATAGTTAGCCAATGATTCAACCCCTTTGAGGAATGACCGGCGAACAAAATGAAATTTCCACACGTCACGAGTTTTAAGAGCGCGCCCTTCAATCATACACATTATCCGAGTTTGCTCGGATTGTTGTCCATTCTAAACGCGCGCCTCAAAACAATTAGTTTTCCATGCTTGTGGTTTGATCATCATGTAGCTCATCGATGACAGCCACTTGGCACGAATAGCCGGCGCGAGTACTTACTTGGCTTAGAACTTTGCAACAATTGGCCAGAGATCATCAAACGCGCGCGATTCAAACACGGTTGGCTCGCGGCGCCACCCGATGCTAAATAGGACGGGCAGTGCCGCCCGGCAACGCTTCTTGTGCTCGCTTAGAATCACGGCTTGAACTGCAGTCATTCATGTCCGATTGTGAGCGACGTCATGCCCCAAAGCTCGAAACGGCATTCATGCATTGTCAGCACACCTTCAGGGCTCCAGCTCTGATACGAGCCAGGTCGACAACTGCTGCGAATCATCCTGATCGCCAGCTAATGGCCGTAGTCAGAAGCATGGGTTGTCGGATGAGAGTTACTTTGTCAAGCCGATGAAGCATTCTAAACAGTCGTACGTGTTGGTTCCTCCAATATTGCCCGAGGCTATAATCAAGCGGACTTTCACCCTCCTATCCCAACCAAAGAAGGGGCAAATCGAGTGCGAGACAAGAAAAAAATTTGTGAGAATTTGAGCATTTTGTTCTAGCAGCATTGATTGTGCTGCAGCAACGAGGATTCGCGAAACATAAATCTCAGCAAATTGTACATCAAAGCTCAAAGGACACATCAATCAAAAGCCTCAAGCCATCGGAAACCAGACCTCATTCATCGCATCAACATCCGCACCATGCTCCAGAAGCATGTCAACCACTGCCTCGGAATGCTCACGGCACGCAATGTGAAGCGCGGTCATCTGCAGCCACATTCGTCATCATAGGAAGCTGAGCGCATTGTCATGCGACAGTTTACGCAGGAAACTCGTGCCCGGCTTCTTTTTTTTTGTTAAAATCATGATCAAGCAAACCCTAGGTGTCTATGACGACTATGGTCTCACGCGAATGGGTGTGCGATTGCAAGACATGGATGCGTACTTTGCCTTGGGCGTCAAACGCAGCGGCGTAGCCTAATACCTTCTTGACCACTTGCACGTGGCCACGTTCGCAGGCCAGTTGCAGCGGCTTTTCCAAGGCATACTGCCCCGCAGAGGCAATGGAATGAGATTTGGCTATCATTCATATCAGTGTGCAACTTTTGCGCAAGCGCTCTTTGCAGACCAACCATGTGTTCGCCGCAGCAAGCATGATGGACTCGTATTGGCTTCCATTTCGCGAGAATTTGCAGCGCCGGCTGCGGATGGGGCAACCTGCACGCAGCTGCAAGCTTGAGAGTGTCAGCGATGCGCAAAAGTCTTGGGATATTTATCTTGCTTGAAAAATGCACGTACGGGCGCTCAAAGGGGATGTTGTCAAGAGGCGTGATGCCAAACTGAGAGTACACAATCATGGGGCACGGGGCACGAGAGGCACAAAATCATCGTCATTTTTTTCAAGATTTGCCGGTCAGAACCAGGGAGCAAAGAATATTATGAGACTGACCCAATTCTCAATTTTGATGTCCGCCCCGAGGAGCATCAGAGTCTCAATGTCGGACAGGTTATGGTGGTAGCAGGCTTCGTGCAATGGCGTATCTCCAGTCTATACCAACACGGCAAGGTTTGTCGTTTCAATTCCATCAGGTCCGTTACAAAGATACCAAGCCGGTAGCACACTCACATACCCGAGGGTTGCGGTACTGTGTTGCAGATCGCAGACGGTCCTCTTCCCAGTGCTCGAACAAGTACGCCACAGGCTGTCCGTCTGGCTTGCAGCATGCCCTGTATAGCCTTTCTCCATCTGAGCTCATCGTGAACCAGCCCCTAGAGATGCAGCAGGTGAGGACAATGCCGTTCTCTGGATAAACGTAAGTGACGGCCATTTTCGTACCAGGCCAGCGAGAATAGAGTCACGTCGACGAGCGGCAACAGCTCGCCCTGGAATACGTGAATGTCTACTCCAAGACTTTCTTGGGTCTGGTAAAATAACACGCGCCAGCAGCGGCACGCGCATGCGTACACTGGGACACAGAAACTGATACAAATATCAACAAGCAGTCCGACTTTTCTCTCACACAAGCACAAGCACGACCCAAACAACGCCCGTTTGTTACAAGCAGGAGCAGAGGAGCAGAGGAGCACAAGAATTGTTAAGAACTGTTGTTGAGGATTTGGGTGAAATGTTGTCATCTCTCTTTTTCAGCACCAATCATGTCTGCAACAGCTCATAGAATGTCTTCACATCGATTTGTGCTTTTGAGTGTTTGTCTGTCAACGCCTGTCTCCGGCACCGACCCCTCTGGATCCAAAAGACCTCAATAAACTCATGGCTTGGCGAGAGGGCCTTGCCCGTCGTCGATAACCTCGAGCACCATGCGCAATGGTGATGGTGCGCCTCTTCTTTAAAACGATGTTTTCAAACCGGCGGACATGCGACCACGGCGCGCGACGAGATTCGCCATAGTCTCAATGCTGCCCCGCCCACAATGGCAGGCGCAAGAAAGGGGGGCCGAGGAGCGAGGCATGGGCAAAGCTCTTGATGATGACGCTTCAAAGGGCATGCGTAACCATTGCCATCACACACGTTACGTTCGTAATGATGAGGACCATCACCACGAAAAGCAAGAACTTGTTCGCAGGTCGTCGCAAAAGGACAGAATGTCAGATCTTGTCCACTCATTAAGGTCAGATGTAGGATGCAGTGTCAATCCTAGATGAATCGTGGCCAATCCTCTCCTCAGCCTTGAATGGCTCCTAGACGAGTCGTGGTCAAGGATAGGACACATATTACCGTCGTTTCGAGACTTGCTCGTGTTGTTGTGCTGCAGATTTGTGCTTGCCTTTGCATCCGGGGCGGACAAGGGCAAGGACCTGTGTGGCTTTGCGCACGTTCAACTGTTCTTGACGGCGCACCTTGGTTTTGTTCAAGCGTAGGATGGCGCATGGCGCGAGAAGGTGCATGCATGACCGCCAACTTTGAGCCTGGGAACGCGATGCGGAACCGGCGTGGCTCGGCGCACGCGCAACGTAGACGACCAACCTGGGTATAAGTGGCTGCGGTCCAGTTGGGAGAGGCATTTTACAGCGCCTACCATCAGTCACCAGCTAGCAACAATCTGCTCCACACCCCCGCCTCAAGTCGTTCTGCCCCGCATCGGCTTTCTTTGAACCTCGTCATCATGAAGCTCGCCATCCTCGTCTTGGCCCTGGTGGCCACCAGCGCTTCGGCGTGCAACATCAGCGTCACCATCAACTTACTGGGCAACATCATGGTAGGCTTATCACCTAAACTCATGTCGCTCGATTTCCAAAGTGCCCATCGAGGTTCTCACTCCTGCTCGCGTCCTGGTTGACAACATGGCCAGCCCTGCATCAACAGCTTTAGCAACGAAGTCTCCGAGTGTGATTCCATCCGTGACCGCGACTGCATCTGCCCTCTCCTTGAAGATTATCTGGAGGTGCGCCAATGTTGTCTACGCATGACTGAAGCCAGCCGCCCGACAGCACTCACACACCGTTTCCTCCACAGTGCACTGTGGACCAGTTTGCCCAGGTTGACGGCTGCATTCCCGAGGGTGTTTCCAATGCCATGCGCAACGTGTTCAGCAATGCCACCCAGGAGCTCTGTACCTTCCGTTTGCGCTTCGAGATTGATGTGTCCGTGAATGTTCCTGCTAGTAAGTTTGCCCTAGGAGCAATGCCGCGACGCACGTGTTTCAACAAGCCGGCAGCTAGCCTTTGCGTAATCCTGATGGTTGCTCTTCCCTTTTGTACGATCTGCTTGATAGACTTTGAAGCCTTTACCGAGGTCCAGGCCCGCGCCTTTGGTCGCACCATCCTCGTGACAGGTGGCGTTGAAAACTTGGAGAATGGCGCTTTTGCTGTCAGCGTAAGTCGATCTTGATCCCAAAAGCCGAAAGCTGTCAAAAAAGCCGCTTCTCTAAGCACTGCCTTACACTGCCTTCTTCTATGTATAGTGGAGCCGCGGCGACGAGAACCGTGTCATGTTCAAGGTGACCTATGTTGGTCTTGTGGCCCCCACGACGGTCCAAATGCAGACCACTTACAACGACGTGGATTACCAGAATGACGAGGGCAACAGCGACAATGACAATGTCGAGGCCGAGGATGTGACCATGAGCTCGAGCGTGAGCGATGGCGAAGACCCTGATGGTGGTAGCGCTAGTGCCGCAGTGCCGGCCTTGGCCCTCGGCGCGGCTCTCATGGGCGTTCGTTACCTTTAAGTGACATGTAAAATGGCTTCAACGATCCTTGCGTGCACTTGCCAATGAATGTGTTGCAACGAGTTTTGCAATCAGCCTATCATTGCCCACCAGCGTATGATGCGAGTCGTCCAGCCATGTCTGTCCGTGTTTATTTTGCTTCTTTCTGTTTGTAAACTTGCCGGCTCCCTTGTTTATGCAGCAATCGAGCCATTCCAAGTGTCAAATCAACAATAACTTGGATTTCTTGCCACTCTTAGCATGTAACTTGTCGTGGTCATAATATCATGTGAAAACGGGTCAAGAGTTGACACGCGAACAAACAATCATTGGCCCACCGATCTGCGCCAAAAGCAAATTGTTTAAGCTCGCACAAGGACAAACAAAAAACACACAAGCCATCGGACATTTCACCGAGAAAATTGGCATGGCATGACTGGCTAGGTCGCGATGCGCAGCCGTTCACGTTCACACACACACACACCTACACACACACACACACACACACACACACACACACACACACACACACACACACACACACACACACACACACACACACACACACACACACACACACACACACAATTCCTAATTTGCATAAATTGTCACTACATGGGTCACGAGTTGGCATGCAACGTGTCCAGAAGACGCTCGCGTTCGCGAAGCAGCTCGTCGCGCAGGGATTGCAGCAAGGTTTCCTCTCGCTCCAGCAGGTCAACCTCACGATTCAGATTGGATTGCTTGGCCTTGTTGCGTGCCCGGCGGCGTGCACAGTCCTGGCGATTGCGCTCTCGCTGCTCCTCAGTCCAATGTTTGCTGCGCTTGCCTGTGAGAACGGGCCGATCTTGAGTCTTGGCTGTGCCAGCAGTGCTGTGGTTGCTGCTGCGGCTGATCTGGCCACCGCTAGCAGGCGTGGCCGTGCCTGGAGGACCATCATCGCTGAGCGTGCTAAGGCTGGCCCCCGGCTCCACGGGTGCGGGTGGTGGAGGCGCTGCATCAAAGGGTGAGTTACCCAGGTGTGGGCTCAACTCGGGCGATGCCATGTGAAGCCACTCTGTCACAGTATCGGACAGCGGACCATTACTTGCATGCGCCTCGCTCATGCCGGCGTCTGACAACACGTCTGAATCTGAGGTGTAGAGCAGAGCACCAGGGGTCACGGCCAGTCCGCCATCGCTCACACTGCTCTGCGGCTGCAGGCTGGCCCGGGCACTGCTGCCAGCACTCGAAGGGTCGGACACCTGAGCCAAGATTTGCTGCAGCTCAGTGTGGCCTTGCAATTCGGCAAGTTCTGCAGGTTTGTAGCCGTTGCGATTGGCAGCGAGCAACCGACTCAAGGCCCCAACGCGGGCACCGTGTGCCAGTAGTATAGACACACAAGGCGAGTTGCCTTCGCGCACTGCGGCGTGCAATGGTGTTTCGCCATCGTCGTCCAACGTGTCCACCTGAGCGCCTCGCTCCAGCAGCTGCCGCACGGCCGAGGTATCATTGACACTCGCTGCCCAGTGCAGGGCCGTCCGTCCGTGCGAGTCTCGGGCATTGAGTCGCTCCGAAATTGGCGTCGGGCCCGCCAGTTTGCTCAGCAAAAGAGGCAACGCTGCTGGGCGATCCATAATCACGCTGAGCATGAGCAGGGTTCGACCGTCGTGATCTTGTAGGTGCAAGGCGTCACAGGTCTCGAGGCCCAGACGTAACAGCGGTAACGCGTCAAATAGAACGGCATAGTGCAAAGGCGTCTGGCCGTCATTGTCGCACTTGTCACAGCGGCTGCCCGACTGCAGCAGCGCAGCACCCGTGGCTTCGGCCATTGGATTTTCGGCAGCATAATGGAGGGGCGTCCGTCCACGGGCATCAACGGCGTTGGGATCAGCGCCATGGCGAATCAGGTTTGCCACGGCAACTTCGTGATTGCCAATCACCTATGCACGGAAATCATCCAGTCAGCGCAGTAACAAAATGATCACATGAAATGAAAACGTAAAAGAAAAGATGGAAAAATAATTTAAAAGCATCAAAACATAAACACGCTCAAGTCAACTGCTTGTCAAGCCCACACACGTCGAGCAAGCCAAAACAAGGTCTGTGCTTGACGTACCGCACAATGAAGCGCAGTGCGCCCGGCGTCATCGCGAGCATTGATGGGCAGCACCGATCCAACGGCACCCGAGGAGCCGGAGCCCGTCCCAGCCCCACCTGGTGAAACTGCCGCGCTCGAGGAGGCTTTCGCGGACTCGGCCTGGCTTTGAGACACAGGTGCAAGCAGTTGTTCAAGTCGGTGTTGGTCACCACTCAATGCGGCCAAATGGAGGGTTGGACTGTCGAGAGCAGGCCCTGCGCCAATGGCCGGGGCCACGGTCGTCGCCGTGGTTGAGGAAACCTTGAGCACATGCAGCTCAGTGTCTGCTGCACCATGCAAAGGATGGCCTTCGTCGTGAACATTGGTGTAGGGCGTATTACCGTCCTCGCGTTTGGCCCGCTTACGCATCAGGGTACCAAATACGACGAGTAATAGGATCAGAACCAGGGCGGCTGCTACAATGATGGCAATCACCATGCTCGGGGCTATAGATGACTTTTCTTCGCCATCATCGCTAGGGGGTGACGTGGCTGAGGCTGAAACAAGAACATCTTCGTAGTAGAATTCAATCTCACCACGCTCAATGGCAGTGTCCAAGCGCGTTTGCGCTGGCTTGGAGCCGAGGGCCACCTTGGCCCGCACGTCCATTGTGCCCAGCTCGCGATACAACAATAGACAAGTCACGTCCTTAGCAAGCACGCCCACGTTGGCCAGCGAGGCGCGAAGGGTGCGCTCAAACGAGCGGCGGATAGCCGCGGCGCTCAGATCGACGTCGTCCGTACCGTTGAATATGAGATAGCTGATAAAGGAGCTCACGCATCCGTCCAAATATTTCTTGACGTTAGCACCTTGCAGATCGTCAACATTGTCAATCGGGGCGGCAAGGTCGTCGTCGTCGTCACTGCCGTCGGCTGAGCCGCAATGCGCGAGGGCGAGGCTGTTGCAGCCGCTGGCCTCACGCACGATAGCACACTGACAGGCAAAATCCACGAGCCCTCGACTCGAGCTGCAATAACTACCGACCTCGCGGCAGCAGGCCTCTGACGGAAGCCAGAGCGAGGCAGTGCCTTGACACGCGTCTACATGGCAGGGAGAGGCGGGGCTAGCAGTGGTAGCGTCGTCGAATGGGCACGAAACTGCGCCACCTGTTGCTGCCAGACATAGGTGAAACAGGCCGTCTGTGGTTCGGCGCGATTCCACCGTGGCGGATGTGCAAGTTGAAACGGCCTTTCCGATTGTCGAAGTCACACGAGCCCCCACCCACACGGTGGCGTTGCCCGTGGCCAAGATGGGTGGCACAGTACAGGAGAGCCAGCCGTTGGCGGTGCGATTGGCGACAACAAAGCAATCGGAACCGACACAAGAGTAGCCACCTTTGGAGTCCAGCGTCCAAAAGCTGCAACCAAAGGTGTACCGGTCGCCAGTAATGTCAACTTTCGGGGCCGAGGGGTACAGGACGGCGGTGGCGGTGGGCTCGTCAAGGCGCGCGACACACGAGTCTTCAGGCTGATTAATTACCAGCTCGTTCCAAGAACAGGGCATGTCTAGACACAATAGGGTGCATAGATGCCATTGAGAGGCGCGGGTCAGATTGACGGCTATTGGGATGGACCTTCGCCAAATACAGCAAGACTCACCTAGATCTTCTTCAACACGAATGCCGTAGGTACAGGTGGGGTTGGATGCACCACCGGAAACCCAGAACCCCGTGGATGCCACGTCAACGCCCAGATACAACGAAAGGAGCAGAGTGGCACTGCTTTCTGGCGTGGTCACCGAGTGTGTGTCGTCGTCATCCGTGGCTGTGGACCACTGGTGTGGTACGAGCCAAGCCCAAAGCGTTTGGTTGGCAACTGCCACGCGCAGAACTTGTGCATCAGCTGCCGCAAAAGCAAAGGGTGATGCCCCAGTATGGCTATTGATGTCGTCTCGAGCGAAGGTGAGCGTGCCCGAAGACTCGTCGAGCGCCAAGCTGACGCCGATGTCCAGCAAGCTCTCATTAGCAAGACGAAGCACTATGCCAGCTTGCAGTTCGTTCGTGGCGTAGAGTCGGAGGCTGATGGCAAAGTCGTCGAGTGCAATTGGGGCCAGAAGCTCGGCCCCTATATTGCCGTAGGTGCAGATAACGCGCTCTCCAAAACCAGGGAAGAGTTCCGTGTTTGCATGAGCCGCACCCGTGAGTGGGCTGTAGGCGGTCATGGGGAAGGAGCTGGGCTGAGCACACGGGCGATCCAAGAACACCGTTTTGGGTAGGGGTACAAAAGTACAGCGCAGCCAAGGCAAGGGCTGTCCCTCACACTGGAGAAAGCAGCGCGCCAGGTCGAGGAAAAGAGCGGCAGCGATCGGATCGGTTGAGATATTTTCGGCGCATGCGGCAATGGCGGAGTAGGAAAAGTCGCTTGATTGGGCACCATCTTCTGCTGTAGCCGAGGCGCAGGTGAAGGCATCGACACAGCCCTGATTGGTTGAGCAGGCCGCTGTTGTTGCATTGCAGCGTTCCTCGCAGGTCGAAACATCGGTGCAGCCGGCGACCCAGGTGCACGGGGTGAAGCAGTCCTCAGTCGCGGTGATGCTGGAGCAAGTGTGACGACTTGTCAGACAGGCCTTGGCAGTGGGGTTCCAAGCGCAGGATTGAGGGCCAAAGTCATCAAAGTAGGTTGAGCCCAGGCACGCATCGATGGTCACGTGGTCAAGGCACGGGTCGCTGGCCAGCTGGCAATAACCAAAAGTACACGCACGCGCAGAATCACATTGTGCCTCCTCAAGATCGGGACAGCTGCCGGCGGTCAGGCGGCAACCAGCATTCCATGCGCAACCGGCGGTGCGACAGGGATTCTCATCAGTCAGAGCAAAGCAATCATCCGTGCTATCGTAGCACAGATTGAGTGCAAAGTCCGCGGTACAGGGGGCCCCCTGAGTGGTTTGTAAAGCATCACAGGTGCTGGCGTTGTTCGCAGAGCAAGGATCGTTGTCCGAGTAGCAAACACGATACCAACTGCATCGGCCGTGAGGATCACAAGAGCTTTCATCGAGCTGGGCGCAGGTGGTATCCGCATCGTCGTCAACCCTGGCATCACAAGTGTAAAAGGCAATACCGAAGCCCTCCACAATGCTCTCAGGCGTGCTCAGAAACTGGCCATCCTGTCCGCCGGAACAACCTGTCTGGCTCCAATTGTCAGTTGTATCTGTGTTGTAGCAGTAAACCTCGGTCTCCGAGCTGTTGGGGCTGTGCATGGAACACACAAAGGGGCGGTGTGAGGAAGGGAAGGGGGCGGCAGTAAGGGGGTGCGGGGCGGGCGAGGACGAACCGGTAGCGGTAAGAACCGCCTGAGTAAAGAAGAAGCACGCCAGTACCGATGGTAGCCACGGGCACGGCCGATTCGTTGAAGGTATCATCTTGCAGCTCACTGGGCGAGGTGGCCACGCTCAGCAGGCCATCAAAACGCGCATCACCCTCGTCATCGGTGTAGACGCTGCCCAAGTACTGTTGTCCTTCCCGTGTGTCTGCACAAAAGTTGGTCAAAACATGCCAATTTGGCAGAATAGGGAGATGTACATGAGGCATGAAAATGTTGGATCAAACAACCCCCACACCACCCGCACACCCCTGCCCTTACCCAAAAAAAAAAAAAAAAAAAAAAAAAAAAAAAAAACGCGCCCGTACCTGGGTACCAAAAGACGAAATAAACGGTATTGTTTTCGGTGTGGGCGAGCGACACATGGGGAAGGCGGTCGTCATCCACTGTGAACGAAGCAGCTTCAAAAGGGGCAGCATTGCAGTTCCAGTCTTGGTCGGGGTACCAGGCGGCGACACAGGATGACACGGGAAAGGTTGTGCCTGGTTTGGTGGTGATGGGAGAACACGATGCGTCGCGGCGCCACCGCTGAGGCAAAGCGCCATAATCGGCTGGCATTGGTGCACAGGTGGCACAGGTAGCGAGGCCAAGGAGCAGGCCAAGCAACGGCCCCAGAGGCCGAGGGCGTGTGGGCGGGCCGGCCCGCTCGTGGTAGCCTAGGCGCAGAGACGCCATGGCACGCGGGTGCAAGCAAGTGCCTTGACCCTCCCTGCTCCCTGTGCGCAGTGCATGCAGGACTCAAACTCAAAGCGATGGGGCGCGAAGGTACTCAAGACATGGGCGCGGCTGGGAGGCAAGAACAACCGACATGCTTGATGGATAAAGGCCAACCAGAAGGAGGTGGTGAAGGGCAGGTGAGAACCATTGGCGAAACAAACAACGATACCAAGCGAACCTTTCATCAATGCTTACCCAAGGCGGCAGCACAAAGCCGCAGGCCAGGTCGATGAGAACCGTAGCGTGAAGTGGCGTGATATATAATGCCCGCGCGCCAACCGGAAGGGTGTTGACGGCGCCTCTGCACAATGACCGCCGTCCTGCGGCCCAGGAGGGAGGAAGGGGCGGATGAATGGAATGCGCAAGGCAAGAGGTTGCGTTTGTTTCAAAACTCTCACAATGCCACGTCGCCTTTGCCTGCCCACCCGTGTCATGCAAAGCATGCGCTCACTCAACCCCCCCCCCGTCTCGAGCCAGCAAGCAGAGCTCCTCGCGCAGCGGCAGGGGCCTCGTCGCCGTCGCACACTCACACACTCACCAAAAACACACACACGGATCAGTCTGACGAAACGGAACAACAGAGATATGCGTATGAGGGTTATACAGTCAGAGAGAGGGGTTAATGTGAATTATCAGCTCTTTGAAAACCCGTGGGTGAACAGAGATGCGTGACGTTGTGTGTCAAAAGTCAGAGAGTGGTGTTGCTTGATGCTGAAGCGGTACCGTCCACGGCGCTGAGACCTTTCTCCGCACCCTCCCTCGGCTTGCTCGTTTCATTGTCTACTAACGCAGATGTGGTCGGGAGGCTACGTATGTGTTGGCTCATTGAAATTGCGGCAGTCGTTGTCCTGTCGCTGACGAGCTTGATCTCAAAGTATTCTTCTTATGGGCGTGCGGGAGTTATCTGCTTTCCGAACATCTGGCTCCACTGCCATCGGGGAAGCTTGACCCGCGCGGCCCAGTTGGCAACAACCCGGCACAGAGTGGCGCAATGCCATCCGTAGCTGCCTGCAAACGATCCGCTTTTTGGACCTGGACCAGCACCAACATCAGCTCCGACAAGCTCGACGAGCTATCGACGATCCATCCTGATTGCCACGCCGTCAACTTCCCACAAATAGTACCAAGAGCTTAGAACGCTTCACCAACCTCGCCTCGCCATCCACCCATCATCCTACCTACCATCAGCACCCGGCTGCCATATCGCCAGCCAAACCAACAACCCCGACCCGACGTCACCCCGCCCCTTTCGACCGTGTTGTGTTCCTATGGACGACGCGCGCAACCGATGACGACGGACCCTGAGAACGCACTCCTCAAATCTCCACGGAGACTCGCACGACGCCGCCATGTGTGTGTGGCACTTTGGGCGTACACGTAGATAACTTAAAGGCACGGTTCCCCTTGCAAAGTTAACACCGCGTGTGGTAACTTCATTACGACCGTATGACCATTCTTTTGTATGTCAGAAACAAACAAAAAGGGAGCAGAAATGTCATACGAAGTTAGAGTCTCCTGGTCGCAATGAAGACCAGAAGACTCTCAACCTGAATTGTCAGCACGAAACATCACGATTCGTCATTTCGAGTCCCACACACACACGCAGAACGGTCGGACACGACGACGGGCGGCGACGCGACGACTTCTCGGACCGTGGTTGCTCGTGTCAGGGGTCAGAGTACGTCGATGGACCCATCTTGGCTTTTGAAAAGAGGCTCTTGTGTACTGGTTGAGAGGGGTTGACGTGGGGTACGCGAGCGCTGCTGGCGCACCGGCGACTGCGAGCATGACTGATTGGTCGTATTGCGGTGCACACGTGCATGCGCACCCCATCGCGACATCGGAGGGGCTCAGCCGCTGCTTTCTTCTCTCCCTCAGCTGCCTGGTCCTGTTCTTTTACAGCTTTGTCTTTAATGGCATCGCGGGCGTGCTCGCCAAAAAAGACCCTCATCCTGCGGCTCTGCCTGCAACGCAAGCGCGTGTCACCGTCTTTGCCGCCGCCCTCATCGCGCTCGTCTACCTCGCCGAGGGCATTGTCCTTACGGTCCAGGATGGCCCGATTGAGGTCGTTATTGTCACCTCCACCTTTCACCTAGCTGCCTGGCTCTTTGCCATTCTTCCCCTTCGACGAGCGCACCGCCTGGCTCAACCCTTTCCTCCGGTGACTCTGCTTTTCGTCGGCTTGGCCGTCGTCTTTGCTGCTCTCGAAGCCGCCTCCCACAAGCGTCAACACTACTTTTTCTCCGACCTTCAACACAACACCGACCATGACGTGCTCCTGGCCGGCTTTGCCACGCGCGCTGCTGTTCTCCTGCTTCTTTTTCTGCTTGGCTTGAATAACCTGTACCAGCGCTATCGTCAGAAACAGGCTGCCTTGCCGCAGGGCTCCACTTCCATCAATGACGCCGACGAAGCAGCCCCCCTGCTCAAGAGTGAGGCCACGGTAACAGTCCCCGCGCAACCAGATGGCACCGTCAAGCAACGCGAGGGCTCTACCTTCCGTGGCCTAGGTTCCCGTGCGGCTGTCATCTGGCCCTTTATCTGGCCGCGTGCCCAGCGCTTGCTACAACTTCGCGTGCTGCTCTGCCTTGCTCTCCTTGCTGCCGGCCGTGTTGTCAACCTCTACGTGCCCATCACCTACAAGCGCATCGTCGATGCTCTCACCCCCGACACGGACAATAACGATCCTCACCCAGCCTCCAACGCCACCCAGCTCCAACACATCCTCCCCACGACCCTCATCAATCTGAGCGCCCGTCTCGGAGCCGACCCCTCGACGCCCGTCACCGTGCCTTTCCCTGTCACAGCCATCCTCATCTATGTGGCCATGCGCTTTCTCTCCGGCGGCGGATCCGGGGGCATGGGCTTGCTCAACAACCTCCGCACCTTCCTCTGGATCCGTGTGACGCAGTACACCTCGCGTATCGCTCGAACTGACATGTTCAGACACCTTCACTCCCTCTCCCTCCGCTGGCACTTGTCTCGCAAGACCGGCGAAGTCTTGCGCATGGTGGACCGAGGCACCGACTCGGTCAACAGTCTTCTCTCTTATGTTCTCTTCAGCATTCTGCCCACTCTCGTGGACATTGCCATCGCCTGTGTCTACTTTACTTCCGAGTTCGGCCCCTATTTTGGCCTCATCGTCTTCACCACCATGATGCTCTACATTTACGCCACGATTGCCATAACCGAGTGGCGCACCAAGTATCGCCGCTCAATGAACACCCACGACAACCGCCTTCGCCAAATGGTAAAAAGCCGCGAGCTTTGGCGCGTGCCATGCTCCTTTCCTTTTCCTCCCCTTGCTCACGCCACCTCTGCTCTCCCTTTACTTTGCCTCTGTGTCAGGCCGTAGACTCGCTCCTCAATTTTGAAACGGTCAAGTATCACAACGGCGAGCAATTTGAGCTTCAACGCTATGACGACAAGATGATCGACTACTTGCACCACTTTTGGCTCTCCAATGCCTCCCTCAGTCTCTTAAACACGGTTCAGAGTGTCATCATCATATCAGGTCCGTTCACCTTCCCAACACGCCAAATTCAATCCGCGCCCCGCGTCGCTGTCTCGTACCACGTGTTTTGAGCCAGAAAGGTTGAATCAGATGACACGTGAACAAAATTTGATGTTTTGGGCGGCTCTAGGCTTACTGGGCGGCACACTGCTCTGTGGTTATCTCGTTTCCATTGGACGTCTTACTGTTGGCGATTTTGTCCTTTACGTCACCTACGTCGTGCAGCTCTACAGTCCGCTCAATTACTTTGGCACCTACTATCGGTGGGTCATCTCAAGCACAGATTCTGGTTGTGCTGGCATTCACGATCGATTGGCCAACCCGTCTTTGAAGCCATTACATCCTCGATACCGCCCTCACCTCTTGCTGCGTGACAAATGGATAATGTTGTAGAATGATCCAGAGCAGCCTCGTCGACCTTGGTACGAGAGGATTGCCTTGCCACTCAACCTGGTCTCCGACAGTATTCAAATGATCTGACCGATCTTGCCAACCCCATTGCTAGAAAACATGTTTGATCTCCTTCATCTCAAGCCCGAGGTGAAAGACAAGCCCGATGCGCGGAGCTTGGCACCCGAGCACCCGGAGCGTGGGTGCGCTATTGAATTCCGTGACGTTACGTTTGCTTACAGCCCTGAGCGCCCCGTCCTCAAGGGCATCAGCTTCAGTGTCCCTGCCGGTTCCACGCTCGCTGTGGTGGGGCCGACTGGTAGCGGGTGCGTCGTTGTGCTGTTTTGTCATTTCCGTATCAACCTGATCTTGAATGTGATTTGTTCGTCAAGCCTTGTCTCTGTCTTATTTCACTTGTTTTTACTGTCTCATTTCCATCTGCTGCAGCAAGAGCACGCTGATGCGGTTGCTCTTCCGCTTTTATGAGGTCGGTGGCGGCGCCATTCGAGTCGATGGCATGGACATCAGAGATCTCACGCAAGACTCTCTTCGCCGTCAAATGGCAGTCGTGCCTCAGGACACGGTTTGTCATGGTCGCTGTGGTCGCTGTGGTTGAGTGTCTGCGTGTCTGCGTGTCTGCGTGTCTGCGTGTCTGCGCGTCTGCGCGTCTGCGTGTCTGTCTGTGTTTTGGGTCATTTTGAGCTCCTTGTCCCTTTGCTTTGCGCACCATGGCTTGATTTCACAAGCAGAATGATTTCGGACCTGCTTAGGTGCTGTTCAACGATACCATCGCCTACAACATTGAGTACGGTGCTCCCGGGGCTCCACGCGTTGACGTTGAGCGTGCTGCCGAGGCCGCAGAAATCCACAAAAGCATCCTCACCTTCCCCAAACAATACGATACGGTGGTGGGCGAGCGTGGCCTGAAGCTCTCGGGCGGCGAGAAACAACGCGTGGCGATTGCCCGCGCCATCCTCAAAAATCCAGCCATCATGCTCCTCGACGAGGTACATCTTTTGCGTTTTTCATTCTTGCAGCATGGGTCCCGGTGACAATTTGACCCGCGGCCCGCCACTCAATTTTGCGTTTGCCCTTGCGTAGGCTACCAGTGCTCTCGACACAGCGACAGAGCGCTCCATCCAGGGCTCCCTGAGCCGCGTTTGCCAGGGTCGTACCACGGTCTCCATCGCGCATCGGCTCAGCACCATTGTCGGGGCCGACCAGATCATTGTGCTGCAGGATGGTTTGATAGTGGAGCGAGGCTCACATGGCTCTTTGCTCGAACAAGGCGGGCTGTATGCCGAAATGTGGCATCGTCAGCTCGAGGCTGAAGAGGAAGCCCGCACTGGCGCAGGTGCCAAGGAAGACAGTGAGGATGCCGTCACTTCTGCTTGAGCGCTTTAGCGGCGACACGGCACGCAGTCGGCCTCGTGCCCTGAGTCGCTTATCATGCCAATTAGAACAAAGGAATCGATAGTTTACAATGAGCCCTCTTCCTTGCTTTATTTTTTTTTTTTTTTTTTTTTTTTTTTTTTCCAAAAGCACAGCATGAGAAAAATGAGAGATTGCTCAATTGTTCATGCAGGTCGACATGTCTCAACCTTGTTTTTGGAGGGCTGAAGAGAATTAAGCAGAAGGAGCGGGAAACATTTCGTTGATGAGCTGGAGGAGAAATTGCAAACGCGCATGATGATGCTGCAGATTTGGAAGCTGCAAGGCCTTGATGGTATTGCTGCGCACCGACTGCAACACCTGCACGGCCATGCCGTGCGCCTCAGACGGCACGTTCAGTTGATGGACGCCCTTGATGAGAAACTCGACCACGCGCTGATTATCAGCGCCCTTGGCCAAAGCCACGGATAGCTGCTGCAGCAGGGCTAGCCGTGTCTGCGGTGTCAGATGCTGGATGACCGTGGGTTGCAGCGCACCGCATAGTTGACACACCAAACTCAAATTGCGCTGGCTCAAAGCGCGGCTGAAGGCCATCTCCGTATCACCGCGGCCTGCCAGCTGCACCAACTCTGTGAGCAGCTGCTGCGTTGTTGGTGCGGCCTGCGCAGGAGTTGCCCGAGCACTGCTTGGAGTAGACCCTGCGGTACCGGGTGTTGCAGCAGAAGTAGCACCCTCGGGGGCTGCAGGCAAACGAGCAATGGTTTGGCGCAGGCTAGCCATTTGCTCTTCCATGCGCTGGATGGCCGTGAGGACATGCTTGAGCTGCTCGTCAACGCCGTTGCCCAGGACGACGCCAAGCCCGCGCTGTAGCGCGCGCTCTTGAGGACCACCTTCAATCCACTGCTGGGCGATTTTGGTTTGAACGTCGCTCAGCAGCGAGGTCAAGCCCTTGGAAACCACGTCTGCGACTTGACCCAGCACGGTTTCGGCGGCCACCGTCACCTTTTTGTTCAGTTCGGTGCTTACCATGGGAGCAAGCACGTCCTTGACCGGCTTCTTCAGGCTGCTGGCCAGGTCGGCGGCATTGAGTTGAGCGTGTTCCACGCGATCAATGCTCTGCTGGCAGCTTTGTACAAGTTTCTCAACCTGAGAGCGTGAAGCCTTGATTTCTTTCGCCAGGCGCTGTGAGTGCTCTTGCAAAAGCTCGGGTGTGACTTGATTGTCTCCCGAGCGTTGAGCCATGACCTCCAGCAGACGACGCAACTTTTCGTCAAACATGACATTGAGGTTGCGACGCGAGACCTCGGCTTCAGAGGAAAGACGCTTGGTAGCCAGCGACATGTGCTGGTCCAAGCGACCCACCAAACGACCCTCCAGACCCACAAGGTTCATTCGCTGTGCCAAGCGATCAGCGAGGCGATCGAGTGTTGCGTCATCCAAGGTGACTGAACCGCCAAGGGGCGCCGCGGGCATGGCTGCGGACGTAGGTGGGCGAATGCCCGGTGGGACGAAAGAAGCCTGCTTTTGGCTTGGGGCGGGAGCTGAGCCTTGCGATTGCGGTGGGGCAGCAGCGACCATTGGCTCTGGTGCAGCTGCCGGGGTGGACGTTGCAACAGCGGTCGGGCTTGAAACCTCTACAGCAGGGGCAGGGGCCGTTGCGGGTGTAGGCACGGCAGCGGGTGTGGATGTTGATGCTGGCACGGGCGCGGATTCTGAGCTAGTAGCTTGAGTCTTGGCTTTGTTGAAGAGGGCCAAAAGACCAGCACCAGCGTCACGCGGCGCACTTGGGCCACTAGTTGTTGTGACGACGGTACTAGAAACCGAGGCAGAGCGAGACGTCGTTGGCGACGTTGAAGTTGCCGCCTCGGGCGTCGACGCGCTGTTCCGCAGCAGCGCCAACATGCGCGTCTGCGCTGAAGCACTGGAAGGCGTGGTGGGTGGGGAAGAGGCAGCCGTGATCCCGTCTGTGGTTGTAACTGAAGACGACCGCGACATAAAAGTGCTGCTGGGACCTGCGCTTGCAGCGCCCTCTACATTGTGCGCCACACCAAAGGAATTCTTGAGAGACAAAACAAAGACAAACGTTTTCTCGCCTTGCTCCATCCCAACACACGCACACACACACACACACACACACACACACACACACACACACACACACACACACACACACACACACACACACACAAAAGCCAAGAATGCAAGAATAGTCGCTGGTCAGACAGCAACATGATATAGGGACAACATACCAGGGCCATTGACAGACTGCTCGGCTTGAAGCAGCGCGACCGACAATAGGTTATTCGAAAAGTTGTTCGTCTGCATCAAGCAAACGCCACCCACAAAGTAAGGACACAGCGCAGCAACACCAAAGAGCAATGAATAAAATATGTCTCACCGGCGACTGGGACTGGAAGTTGAAACGAAGGTTATCCTACATCGTAAAATGATCACGATGACTATTGTGAGAGCTTTAAAAGCAGGGTGTGGAAGGCAAACGACTAGGTTTTCGTACCTCGACGACTTCGGCATGCAAAACGTGCAAACTCGTAAGGTTTTGGCGTACTGGATAAATGCAAAGCTGCTGTGCAGACAAACCTGCAAATCAAAAGTGAAATGAGCCGGGGGCTGGGGCACTCTTTACAAAGCGGGGATGGGTGTGAATGCAAGCCGTACCAGCAATGTCAAGAGTCAGAGCACAAATGTACGAATGGCCGACCAGTTCCTGGAGTGCAGGACTGAGGCCATCAAAGAGATCGTCACGATCCACGGCACCCAATTGCTTGGCTTCCTCGGTTAGAGCTGGGTTGTTGCGCAGGGCCGGAGCCACACCCTTGACCCAGAGCAGATGAAGCGCGCCGCCACGCTGCACCGCATTGATGGTGCGTGGCTCCTGTACAGCAGAGGGCACCCATGGAGGAATATAAGATACAGGGCGAAGGGTCACCAGAAGAACGAATCGAGTACAGAGTCAAACACGAACCGCTCCGTGGCCATGAAGGCCGAATGTCCGCACGTCCGAGGAGGTGAGGTTCCACAGCACGATGCGTGAGGTGGCAAAATCCAGGGATTGAATGTAGAGCAAGACAATATAGTCGCTGGGACCACACACAACGTGACCATAGGCAATCGTCTCCTGCCCATCCTCCTGTGCAGGCGAGTGATGCAGAAGCGTCATCAGGGTGAGCGTCGGCGACTGATTCAATCCAGTTGGCGCATTTGCAACCCACGGCGATGAATTTATAAAAAATAAATAAATGAAATAATAGAAAAGAAAACTGACCAACTGCAAGGGATAGGACACGGCGTCCAGAAGCTGTGTGCCAGTACCGACGCAACGACGCAGGTGGCCAGCCGAATACGTATAAAAGGCGGTCTGGGGCGTGTCAGAGGGTTCGACAAAGAACACGGTTGTCTACGAGTGGAACGGGTGGTGCAGTGCGTGAAGGTCAGAGGGAAAAGTCGGCACAAGGGTGGAGGTAGGTGGAAAAACAAAGCCCAAGTGGGCGGGCTTTGCTTTGGCAACTTACCCGGGCGTCAGTGGAAGGCGCAGCTTCAGTGTGCTCTTGGGGCGTGTCGGGCTGCAGGGCATCAAGCCGGGCCACAAAAACGTCTTCACCCGACACTTTGACAACATGGGCAGGCCCAAAGGCCAGATCATCATCCTTGGAGGGGGGTATGCAGAGGACAATTGTCAGGTGCACACACAGTATTGGCAGTGGCGGCAGCAAGAAGCTGGCAGGATCCTCTTCACGCCAGCGCAGTAGCAAAAAATAGTGAAGAACAATGTCCCTACCTGGCCCTTGGTGTTGGTCGAGCTGCTATTGATGGTGAGCAGCAAAGCAGGCATCATGCTGGCAGGATCGATCAAGTACACCTAAGCAAGCAAACATCAGGGCCACAATCAGCATCATGTGCCCAAGGCCAGGCAAAAATTTGATATTTTTCTGGGACGACATGCCTGCCACTTTTGCGGAGTTTGCACGGCCAGAAAGGGCTTTGAAGGATGAGCGCGCAGTGCTAACACCGTGGCGGAGCTAAGGGTCAAAAAACAACATTGAAAAGTGAGGGGTCGGAAGAGACGAGGCCGGGTCCTCTTGCTGAGCGTGTCACACGCGCTGCGCAATCGGGGGCGAACATACTCGGCTTCAAAACGCAAAAGCTGCTTCTCGTTGGACTGCTGGGCTTGCACGCGTACGGCTTCCCCACCGCTCTTCACTGTAGCATCCAAAACAAACACACGCAAACACGCATTGTAAAATGGGAGTGGCTGGACCGCTGGAGAATGGTTGGCAGGCACCTCTGCGATTGCACTCACTGCTCAGCTGATGTGCACGAAACACATTGTTAGCGGCAAAGGCGTGACTTTGAGCAAATGCAACCAAGTCCAAAGAGCTAATCTGTCGAGTCGGAGACCGCGCATTTCCAGTCATGGTGGCGATGAGGCGTTGATGAGAAGACGGACAGCTAAGCGACGCCCATGGCTTGCGCTTACGTTGGCACTGGCGCGAGACCGGATGTGGCTTGGTGGCAGCTTGTAGGCAAATCCAGTTCCCCGTAGCTCAGGCGGCGTCACCACCACCTGCTCATCGGGTGACGCATCGTCGATGCGGCCCACCTCCAACCTACAACCCAGTGTCGAACCCCAGATAGCAACGTGCATGTGAGCGAGCGGTAATGTTGCTCCACCCGCCTGCTAACCTGACACAAGCCAATCAATCCCTCGCAAGTACCCTCTGGTAATGGAACCGACTTTCCCACAGCCACCCTCCCCTTTGCTCGAACGCCCTGTCACTGCCACCGCCACTGCCACTGCCACTGCCATTGCCACTGTCACGACCACTTACGCTGCCATTGTTCCTTCTCGACACGCACACACTCAACACAACACGACACACACAAGAGAGGCAGTCAAAAGAGCTATCAAACTACAACACAGAACAGCAGTTGAAAACTCTCTCAGTCTCGAGGGCTTAACGCTGAACGCTTTGCTTTCCCCTTCTTCTCTCTCCTTTCTTCTCTCGCTCCATGTTCAGTGGCTCATAAGTGTGACGTTTTGTTACAGTTTGACTAACGCGAGGTCTGAATTTTTTTTTTTTTTTTTTTTTTTTTTTTTGGCATTCACTCTTTGAGGTCAGAGGGCAGCCAGCCAGCCGGTTCGGATGTGCGCGCAGTCGCTGGGGACGTAGGGGTGGGCACATTGAGTTGGAAGACGTGCTCGTGTGGGTTTGACATATCCTTTTGTATTTTACCAATGCTGCAGACTCACTGTCATGTCTTCTTTGCTTGCTGTCGACCCAACTTTATGATCACCAGGTAGCCGTGACGCCGCAAGACTTCCCAAACGTCGGGCCGAGCCTGGGACCTGACCGAGCGGTGTCTCGCTGCTGTCTGTACGCCTGCAGTCCACATTTAACCACAGCGTTTCTTGCCCTCGCCGGTGCACCGCCTTTGCGGCGGCGGCTTGCCATCATCGCCATGCCCAATTCCGTGCGTGCCGAGTATAAGCACAAGCTGGACCAGCTCATCTCCAATCGACTGGTCCGTCCAATCGCGCGTCAAGCCGCCTCCTGCCCCTCTTCCCACGCCTGCGCACGCCTTTTCTCGTACACTCATGTTCATTTCGGTATGATATATATCTTGGCGCGCGCATGCACGTCACTGGCTGTTCCTCGAATAGGATCAAATTAAGCTCCTGACCATGCTCGCCGATGACAATCGCAGCGAAGCCTCCACCATCGTCCAAGCCATCGCTGAGAAAATCCTGGTGCGTCCCTTCACTCGGCTTCAAACACTACGGAACAAATTGAAAACTCAAGCATTCGTGAACCTCGTCGGTCTCGGCCATGCGCTGGCATCGATATGGAGCTTTGGGCTCAGTGACGAAAAACTATCGCTTGATCTCCTGAGAGGGTTGTTTTCAACTGTAACTGATGCCGAGAGCCCAAAGCCTCCCCCTTCAATACTTTCCCTTCACATTCCCACGTATTTGTACCACACTGGCCTCAGAGCATCTTAACTGCTTGCTCCGTTCCATTCGTGCAGCGCACGCCTGGCGCCAATCTGCAGTATCTCTTTCTTGTCGATTCCATTTGCAAAAATGTGGGCGGCGAATACATTCCCCTCTTCAATCAGCAACTTGTTCGCCTTTTTCAAGGTGTCATGGGACCGGTATGCCTTCCTTACCCTTCAACTCTGCTGGAATCCTGATCGCGGACTTTGTCGCTTCACACAGCCGTCTTTTTTCCCGCCTTCACATTAGGGCTCACATGACGTCCGCATGAATGCGATTCGAGTGCGCAACACCTGGAGCGACCTCTTTCCTTCCTCCACTCTCGCTGACATTGACAGATACATCCGATCTGTACGCTCAAGCACCACATGTCTGCCCATCGCCAGCCATTCATCTCCTTTAAACCGACTGTTTTCAATCCCTTTTGCGATTCCATTCTCAAATACCCTTTCAAAGTTGCTCAATTCCATGTTTTTCTCCTCTTTTCCTTCGACGTCCGATGCACATACACCCTGATCTCTTCAAATAGGTGCCACGTGAAACAGGTGGCGCCCCAAAGCCCAAGTTTGCGCCGCCGTCCGTGTACGAACCCGACTGCTCTCGCATCTTCTTGTGCACCCACTTTTGAAGCTGACCATGCACGCACACCTATCTGTCATTCACGTACCTTCCGTCATTCTGGGTTACAGAACTCCAGCCGCAGCACGACCACAGGTCGCCGCTCCGGCACCTACTCACCCAGCTGCAGCAGCCTGTACGTATATGCACTGCGCCTTGGCCTGTGTACGATCGGGTAACGCTCACCCTCGCCATCACACTTTCCAGATCATGACCCTGAAGGCTTGCGCCGCGCTCAGCAAGCCCTCCACGATGCCGAGGATGAGCTGCGCTACAACCCTGCTCTTGTCATGGATCATGTTCGCCGGAGCCGGCTTGAGGATACAGCTCGCCGCTTGTACCACGAGGTACGCTTGTATTTCATACTGTCCCTTTGCCCTGACCCTGATGAACTTTGACCCATGCTCGCCATCGCCCTCGCCTTCTGTCCTGCAGATTCAATCGTGGCCTTTGGCTCATGAAGTTGCACAAGCACAACCAGCAACCAGCTTTGCCCCAGCCTATCATCAATCGACGGCAGACCCACGCAGCAACGCTGCGCCGGCTGATCCTCGCACCGCCCACGTTGCAGATCCACGTCGGGTATGTTGATAGCATTCAGCTTCGACATCTCAGACCATGGTCATTGCATGCATCGTGTGCCAAATTCACCATGCTTCCGTATCCGCCCTTTGGCTTGAAATTTCACTTTGGACAGCCTCCGCCCGTACCACCACTTTCGAGTTTGCCTGCACAGACGCCTCCTTCACAAACGTCCTCGGTACGAAGCCAGCTCTCTCATGACTTGATGCTATTTAGCATGCATGATGAATCGCTTTGCCGAGCCACCATCTCTGCAATCTCGACCTTCTCTCTCATCACTAATCTCGTCCTGTTCAACCATAGGCTCCCAAAACACCGCTCTCGGCGAATTCGCTGCTTTCCAAGGTTCTTGAGACCGGTGGCCTAAGTCTCCTATTACCTGGATTGCAGTCGGCCAACCCGGCTGTCAACGCAAACGCTTCCGAGCCCACGGCTTCACCAGATGCCATCCCCTGGCGTAATCTTGCCCCCATGGCCCTCAACACACGGGACATTAAGCAGTGCGTTTGCCTTGGTTAAACTCGAATGCGCTTTGTGTGCACACGATCAAGACACTCTGCCCTTCAACGAGACGTGACTCGTGGCACACATTGGCATATAATCAGTCATCCTGGCTGCGCAAAGCGAGGGAATCACAGGGGACCACCTTGAGGATGGATAGAACGACCACTGCAGGACATTGCGGGATGTTCTGTGCCGGTCTTTTGCAATTACTGACCGGTCCCATGCCACTGCTTGGTGTGATGCTTTGTGCCCAGACGAACCGATGACGCATATGTAGCAGCTCTATACAAGCAACAGCCCCTGCAGTGCACCAAATGCGGCAAGCGGTTCCGTAAGGCGCTCGGCAAGGCATTAGAGCGCCACTATGACTGGCATTTCATGCGGAGCGAGACTCGCGATGCGCAAAAAATCATCTCTCGTGGCTGGATGCAAACTCGAGCTGATTGGCTACGCACCAAGGCTGCCTCAGTTGCGGAGCTCAACCGGTAAGTGCGCTCGACAAAACAAAAGGTTTGCCTGCAAACTCGCCCGTCAGTTTCAACTCTGCGCACCGCACCCCATGTAGAGAGGCAGATCCCGAACCGGCGCCAACCGTCACAGCCAGCGTTGATGACGTCGAAGCCTCTATTCAAGTGCTGCCAGCAGCCGAGGCACAAACGTGTGCTTTGTGCGGGGACTCCTTTGAAAAGTTTTACGACGACGACGAAGGTGTGCGAGGCGCAACTTGTTTCTTTTGCTTCTCACGACGCGATGCACGCGGCTCGGTCGTCACGCGCCATACTCTCAACGTCTTTCTCGACGTTGTGCTTGTTCCCTGCTGACTTTTACAGACATGTGGGCTGTCCGCGCGGTGCAAACGCCAAAAGGCCCGATGCATGTTCATTGCTTTCGCGAAGCTGCTGACGTATGGCGAGCGCGCATCTCGACCATTGACTTGATTTGCTTTAAGCACGATTGTTTCTTGCCCCTCACGTTTTTGTGCTTGTCATTGGCACAGCAACATGCGCTGGTCTCACCGCCAGACAGTCGCCGCGTCTCGACCAGCGAGGAGCAGCCTCTTTCCAAGCGTAGCAAGCCCATGACAAACGCCGATGCTGACAAATAGGCCATCCGACCAACAATCATAATGGATCAATAAGAAACCGCAACAGATTGACGTGTCATCGTCATTCCCGCTGCTCTTCGACTCTGATACACTCGGCCTTAAAAGGGGAAGGAGGAGGGATGTAACGCCCCCAGTGGGGGATCAATGACCGGACTGGTACCTCAAGGCTGAAGCTCTCTCAGTTTTTGATTTTTTTACTATAGCTTGACACACTGGCATGACGCGACGTGCGCATGTGGTAGCGAGTGCGAAAAGCTGAGTCATTGGTGGTTGAACATCGATTATTGTGCAGTCACGGCTCGTTGACCTCCCGGGGCCCCACGAGTGCGCTCACACACTTTACTGGGGAAACTCGTTAAGCTTGAGCAGCATTTTGCCTGAATGCTTGCCGGCGAAAAGATCGGTGGCAGTGTCAACATACTTGCCGGGTCCACCCTCGCGCAAATCCACGCTCCACTTGAGTTTGCCGGCATCGACCTGTGTTGCAATTGAGAATCAAAATTCATGTCAACCTACATTCAGACACTGCAAAGCAGAGGATGCCAGCACACGCTTACCAGAGGCTTGGCCCATTGAACAAACTCGCCATACTTGTCAATGTGATCGGAGACCTGCGGAAAGAGAGTCGTGCAAAGAAGAAGGCGCGAACAGGCATTCAAAATATGACATAAGAAATTGCGTGCATCGCTCTGATTGCTGTCGACCTCAACCACGACACGAAACACACCAGGAAGCCGGTGATGGTGATGCGGCTCTTGATGATCGAGGCCCATGAACGGATGCCATCAGGCTTCTCCTTGTTGTAGTCTGCAAAATATATGGTCCGAACGCATGAGCTCAAGCAAACCGATAGCCACACGCTGTGGGATTTGAACGCGAGCCAACCACGTTGACAAGGACAGAGCCGATGATCAGCGTGAAAAAGACGCACCGGAAATGGCACCGCAAACTGCATGCTTGGCACCAGTGGCAGCGTTTTGCAAAAAGGCCTCTGCGCAGTACACCGAGCAAAGCCAATCGTAAGGACTTGAGTGCTCAGTCTTTGAGACGACACTCGCAATGAAGCCATGAGGCAGGTGCCCAGAGTCCTCAGAGTCCAAAGCAAGTACAAACCGGTGATGGGGCCAGCAGTGTTGTCAAAGTAGTGGGTGATGCCCTTGGGCGCCACACGCTTGAACTCGGCCTTCAAGTCGTCGGTCTTGTAGTTGAAGACGTGGTCAAAGCCCAGCGATTTCATGTAGTCAAGCTGTTGAAGCAAGATGTCGGTATTAGTTTGAAAAAAGTACGAAACAACTGGGTGGCCATCTTCGAGCACACGCACCTTTTCGGGCTTGCCGGCCACGCCAATGACAGTGGCGCCGAGCTCTTTGGCAATCTGACCCGACAGGCTGCCCACGGCACCAGCGCCGGCAGAAACAAGGAAAACGCTATCCTTGGAAGGATTGAGAATGTGCTTGGTACCCACGTACGCAGTGAGGCCAATGACGACCGAGAGCACGCTCATGGCCTTGGAGATGTCCTCCAAGTTCTCCGGACGGGGCTGCAGCTTGTTCTGCAGGTTCTCACCGGGCTTGCCCACATAGTAATCCTGCACGCCACCAAAGCCATTGACAAAGTCGCCCTTTTCGTAGCCTTCGGCCTTGCTCTCAACGACAACGCCGACCGTGCCCAGGCGCATGGGGCTGCCAATCTGAACAGGCTCGGCATAGCTCGGGCTGTACCATCACCATCATCGTTGCGTGTGAGAAAAGGCTCGGCGATACCCAAACTGGCCGTCAGCGAGGGCGAGCGGCTCTGGGTTGCGTGGTGACCAACGAGCCACGTACCCTGGGCTGAGAATGCCGCGCTGGTACGGGTCCACGCTCGCCACGATGTTCTTAATCAGGACCTCGCCATCCTGGATAGAGGGAATGTCCGACTCCTCCTACTCACAATCGACCAGCGACCACGGCATGAGACCATGGCACCAGTCAGTGGAAAAAACACTCGCCTGGCCTGGCAAAAGAGGCAGAATGAGGCAGCCGAATACGAACAAGCTTGAAGCTATCGGCAGTGATGTTGTCCTTGGGGTACTCCTGCAGCAGCAATTGGCGGTTCTTCGACATGATGGATGGTTGAACTTGGCGTACACAAACGGCAGGCACGCTACTAATGTGATTCGCACTGGACTTCAAGGGCAGAAGGGCTTCAGCTCGGTTCTTGGAGGTGTTGGTGCTTCTTCAAGCAGTTTCTAAAAAGAAAATGCGTCCCCCCAGTGGTTGTTCACTGACTCGCTCGAATTTTCTGCTCACATTACGACAGAGTGATGTTATTTGGTCTCACAGCTTTCCTCTCGGGTTGGCCCGAAGGTGGCTGCTCGCACGTGTCTGGCAACGTATCAGAATGAGCAAGGCCATCACGCGCCCTTTGAAATGTGTGATGGGCTCTTGGCTCTCTCTCTCTCTCTCTCTCTCTCTCTCTCTCTCTCTCTCTCTCTCTCTCTCTCTCTGGCTCATTGCTTGCTTATCCGACGTGGTTTTGATGGCACAATGCCAGACTCGAGAAGGAAGAGCACGAAGACTGTTTGGCTGCCCCCTTTTTTTTTTTCCTTCTGCAAAACGTTTTTCTTGTTTGGGTTCCAAAAAGGGCTCCAAGCCGAGAGTCTCAAGTCAGTATGGTCGGGGTGAGGGGTAGGGCGAGATGATGAATTAAAATTTGGAGCGTTGGTTCCCGCCTTGCTCGCTTTCCATGGGTGGAGACGACGATACGCTGCGTTTCGTAATATCGAAGCCACGCTGGCGCTGGGCGCGGTCAAGCATCAAGTCTCTTTTTACAAACTGGCTAAACACCTAACACGAACGAACTACGCGGCTGAAGTTTGAAGTCAAAGACAGATCAAAATTTAAAGCGTACGAAGACAAGCACGCCAGCACGCCTACAGCAGACTACTGCGCCTCAAGCTCTTTAACGAGGCATACAGCCCCCGAAGACTCGGAACCCAAAGAAAAAAAATCCACGATGCAAAGCAAAGCCAAAAGGTAACAAAAACACGCGCGCGCGTGCACGCGCCATGGCGCAAAACGGTTGAGAGATGGGCATGTTTGGTCTATAGCAGCACACACTTGCCGCCGCCACCGCCAGGGTTCTGCAGTTTGTCAATCATCCCTGTGAAGGCATCTTCAACGTTGGTCTACAAATACACCAACACCATTGGGCAGCAAGGTTGAAAGATTGGCAAGGCGTCAGCGCACTGGGACAGGTTCTCATAGGAGCGCATTGGGGCAGGTTCTCGTGGGAAGCACAGTTAATCCATACCTTGGTCTTGGCGCTCGTCTCGATGAAAGCAGCTCCCCAGGCCTTGGCCTTGGCATGGCCCGCAGCCAGCAACACCTGCGACAACCGAATCGTGAATGAACGCATTGGCGTGGAAGCTGCTAGCAGATATAGCTTTGACCACCATCACCACCTCCTGGAGGCATGCAAACGAAGTTTGAGGACCCACGGGCGTGGATGAGAAACCCACCTCACGAGAACCAACATCGGTCTTGTTACCGATCAACAGGATTGGGGCGGGATTGCGCTTGCTGCTCTTCTTGATCTTCCACACCATGTCCTTAATCTCGTCGATATCCTCAAACGTGGTTTTCTTTGTCACGTCATAGACCAGTACAAAGCCCTAGGCGCAGCATGAAAATGAATGCCACCGCCATGGCCAGGCATGAACACGACGCATGCCAAGGGCCAAGGGGGGTGTGGTTGAGCCCGTTCTGCCCTTGGCTGCGGGTTTGCGGCGACACAAAGCACTCACTTGACAGTTTTTGATGTAAAGCTCGACCAGCGACGTAAACTGCTCGGTACCGGCGGTATCAATAATTTCCAGCATTACCTTGCCACCCTTGTACTCGACCTCCTTGCGATAGCAGTCCTCAACTGCCATTCCACCCAAGCACCAACGAGGTCAGGCGCGCAGGGAGAACGCCAAGCAAGGAGAAGCAAAGAGACACACAACGTCCTCGCCCGGGATGGCATGAACGCACCAGTTGGATCATAGGACTCAACAAAGCGATCCTCTGTAAACTACGGGTACGAGGGGCGATACAGTAGGTGCCGGTGCAGGTCACAGCAAGACGCGAGACGCGATGATGGGCGTGTGATGGGATCCCGCACGACGCACCTGAATGGCGAGCGCTGATTTGCCCACACTGCCGCTCCCAAGGAGACAAATTTTGATTTCACGCATCCTGGCGGTTGTTCACCCTGCAAGCCAGACCCCGATTTGAATGATATCCGCGACTTGCGCAGATGGCTGCTGTCACGCGCGGTGCCCGGAGCAACAGGCAAGGTCCTCGCCAATAGCTGTGACTTGCTTCCAACACACAGCTCACAAAGACACAAGACAGCTTACCTCTTTCCCACTCTCTCCGCAACGCCTACACCTATTCGCCCGTCCCCGTTCAAGACGTCCAGCACCCTCCTCTTTCGAGATTAGAGAGCCGAGACGGCGCAACCCAGACCAAGACCGAGAGGGCGGAGACGAGCAGCAACAGCCCCAAGATGCAAATTCTCTCTCTCTCTCAAACTCTCTCTCTCTGTGTCTCTCTCTCCTCTCTCTCTCTCTCTCTCATGTGGTAGTTGTGCTTTTCCTTTGTGTCTTTGCTCTTTACTTCTCTCTTCTCAAACCAATTCATCTCTCTCTCTCTCTCTTTCTCTCTCGCGTTGAAGAGTCAAAACAGAGAAAATGTCAGAAAAAAGGGTGGGCGTACAGCCAAAAATAAATAAAAAAAGAACGTGCGCGGAGATGGGCTGTGGGAGGGAGGGGCTTTTAGTAGTGGGGTTAACACGGCGAGCAGGGGTGATGGAGGTGGGGTTCAAGAACAGAATAAACATGCCAGGAGGGTCGATTTGTTGATCGTTTTCAAGGCGTCCTGCGCTCAGCCGCTCCGATGTCTAACTACTAACTTTGCATCTTCCACGAGCCAGAAGAGCCGCTCAAAAGGACCGCTATTCGTCCTCCTCCTGATCAAGTGCTTCTGGATTATCGTACTCCAGAGCTGTGGAGAAACGAGGAAAGTTGACAATGATGTGCTCTGGACTTGCGCGGCCCCGAAACTCAGACAGACGCTTTGGCGCTTCGCTTTGACGGGGCCGGGGAGTGGCACCGGGTCTAAGGGCGCCCTCCGCTTCGACCTCGAGCGCCAAGGGCGCGGGGCGAGCAGGATCATACGTAACACGTGGCTGTAACGCATTTTTGGGTCGGGATCGAGGAATGGTGCGCGAGGCCGAGGGAGCTCGTGACGGTGCAACTGCCGTCCCAGTGGCGCTCCAAGAGGCATGATAACTGGCAAAGTCAAAGGCTTCACGCGCGCGCGCCGATGCCGTGCGCTCTGCTTGCTGAGCAGCAGCCTGCGATTGGGCGGCATCAGAAACCACTAGATGCCGAGGCAAACTGGCAAGGGCGCGAGCAAAGGGGTCGTCGGGCTCTTCGCTCGCGCCGGGCATTTCCTGCACCGTGACCCGGCCCGACGTAGCCAATTCCTCCAAGCTCGCTTGGCATTGCCCCATCAGGTCCCAATAGAGGTCTGGATTGTGTACGTAGGCCTCACACGCCTCTGGGTGACAACTGGCGCTTGGATCTGGATCCTGCAACACGACCACGGCACGCCGCAGCACGTCTACAGCTTGCGAGACTGCCACCTGACCCAGGCTCATCTAAAACAACCCAACAATCAGCCGTCAGCACCTGTCGGTGGATTTGACACGGGTCACTTGCATACATACCTCGCCTGTTTCCGGATGCACGTTGGGATGAAAGAGCAGGGCACGTGCGTGCAACGAGAAGGCATCCTGCTTGTCATCGTAGGTGAGCTCCACGGGGAGCGCCACCTGCGGCCAGTCGGGATGCAGGTGCACCCGTAAATGGCCGCACCATCGCCGCCAACCCAAAGCCCCACTTACGCTAGGGCCCAAGTATGGCTTGATGGCTAGCGGTGCAATGTCGACCCCGGGAAGCGCTGCGCGCTGGACCAAACGAAACTCTTTCCGCAGCCGCAATGTCTGCGGACTCTCCATCGCAGTCGTCTATCTCACTCGGCCAAGCGCGGCCACATCAACAAGCCTCGGTGACACCGGCGGACAGCCAGACCAGCAGGTTGTCATCAAGTCACCCCCCACGGTGGTCAAGCCACCCCGTCGCTGCTCCCTCCCTTCACACCGACGAGTCAACCGTTCCAGGAAACCCAGCACAACCTCGAACAAACACCAAGCTCGCCGTTGCCACCGACGTCGAATGCTACGCTTTCGTCGTAAATTTCCTCCTGCTTCACAACTGCTTCTCTGCAAGTTCATCTCACACGGTAGCCATCTCTGCTGTGGCTTGACTTTTTTACTTTAGCAGTTAGCTTCCCTGTCACACTCCCTTGTGTCAACCTGCAAATCGCATCATCCTCTCTCAGCGAAATTTTCCAAACCTAGAGTTTCAACTTGGAGGGTATTTTTCAATTTTGCATGTGGTGAAAGTGTCACGCAGTTTGCAGGAGGCCGTTTCGTGGCCCCCCGAAGGCACTTGATGGCAGGGGTCGACTGCACTCTTCACCGGGTCGGGTCGCTGAGCACGATCCCTGGCACATGTGAGAGACAAAGAGACGGACATAGACGTTGATTGATAGGAAGACAAGGGATTCAGGATGTGGAAAAGGTGGATGGGGACGGTGCGAGGCGTGGCGCAACGCCGCGCCGCAAGCGCATTTGCAAACCCCTCGCTCGTGTTTCGAGACGCAGATCTCCACTTGCTAGGCTTGTCGGCAGCCACATGCACCCCAGAGGCAGCAGAGCAAGCCTACCGCCGCCTTTCACGCATTTATCACCCCGACTCCAGCCACCCCGGTGCTCAGGCCGACGCCGGCAAATTTATCCAGGTGGCCGAGGCCTACAACCGTATTCGTACCACACTGGAAACCCGGCAGCCTTCGCCCTTGCTCGATGAAAAAGCCGACCCCCAGCAGCCTGCTGGGCCTGATATTCGACATACAGCCCCCCAACACCGCCGGTATGATCCATAGGGCTTGATTTCGCCGCGCCTGCCATTACTTGACAAAGTCAATCAATGCCCAACCTCATCAACGCCTATTTAGATTTCTGGACACGGACAGCAATCGAGCTGGTACCATCTTCCAGCGTGCGCGCTGGAAGATGCGCACCGCCCTCCATCGTGCCGTTGACACGGTACGCGCTTAAAAGGCATTTGCCACCTCCGTGTTGCCAGGGCCAGAGTCCAGTTCGTCTGGAGAAGACTCAATGCGCTTCTCTCTCTTGATCTCTCTTGAGCTCTCCCATGTTCGTGAAGTGGCCGTCCTCAGTATTCATGTTTGATGTAATGGTAGGTCACCGACTTTTCGATTCAGCAATCCCTGGCCAAGTCCGGCCAAGGCCATACCGAGGTAGGCTCGAAGCAATGCTGCCCTACCTGATGCTGTTTCTCGCACCCCGGGTCATCGAACCACTGGTGGTGAGGGCTCGTCATTTTATTCTGGCCTTCCCTCCGCCCTGTGCAGGTGGCACCTCGCGCAGATGTCTCCGAACCACGCCACGGCGACTCTTTTGAACGTGTGTTGCCACCGCTCAAAGCTGGCAGCACCCATGCCACGCTGCGCGCTTTTGCTTTTTGTTTTTATTTTCGTTTTTATTTTTGTTGTCTTCAAGGGTAGAGGGGTTATTTCTTGCACCGGTACACCATTGCACTTCGATTCACTTCAAATGGTTATGAAAACGGAGCACGGCAGGCATGGCAGCTCAGCAGCTGGACGAAGCTATCCGCCGTGGCGAGTTTGACAATTTGCCTGGCGCAGGCAAGCCCCTCAAGACGCGCGTGGATCATGCTCCAGGGATGGACAGCTACGACTATCACCTCAACAAAGTTCTTATCAATGCCGACTACACGCCTGATTGGATAGCCGCTCAGCGCAGTATGGATTATCTTCGCCACAAGCACTCCCTGCAGAAAGTCTGTTGCCCCCGTACTCAACCCCGCACCCTTTGACTGCATGGCTTTGCAGCTATCCGGGGTATGAAGCAGCGCTTTCGTGACCAGCTTGAGACTGTCTTGGCACCGCAATTGGCGGCCTTGAGTGCCAAGACGGACGACTGGACTTGCCTACGTGTTGAGCCCGATTTAGAAGCTCGTGCTCGCGAGCGAATCCTGGCCATTAATCGTGAGATTGAGAGGTGGGTTCAAACGCAACCGTATCCGTGACCGAACCCGTGTCCGTATGCCACGATGCCACGGTGCCGCGGTGCCACCCATTCTCGATAAATCAGTACTTTTTATTCCTGCGCCCGGCGCCGAATGCGATAGATACAACTTGATCGTGCCGCTGCTCCAGAACCAGCAATGTCACGTGCGGATGGATTGGGAATTAAAGCGCCTCTGGCGCCGACATGCAGGGCAGGACGCGGCTGCAAAGCCCGCCCAGCCGCCAACTCAACGTGTTGATAAAACGGGGTGAGAAGAATTTGTATTCTTGCCTCGGACTGCATAATAGACGATTTAAAAGACTCTCTACTTGACGCACACGTGGCTGCTTCGGCCAATACCCAGCGCATGCCTACGGCATCACGCCCAGCAACACGGCCGCATAAGCACAGTACCACTTGTTGAAAACTACAAAACAGATGACTCATATGCTTCATCGTTCTCGTCTCGACCTTCTTTTGCTGCCGTTTCCCCTCGGACACGGTTTGGCAAGTTTGGAAAGGTCTTGGATGCGAGGGGCGAGACGACGTACCCAAGACCAGCACCAATCAGAACGGGCGCTGGCCATGTCTGCCAGGGACTGCGCCAGTCGAGTGGGAGAAGAGCGCATGCCACCCAAGCGCCGGCCAACGTCCAAAGGGCTTGTGTTCGCAGTCGCCGCAGAGAAGCCACGGCCTCTGCACCTCCCGGAGCGGACCAAGATCTGGACAGAGAGGAAGCAGTGAAGACACACGGGCCCGCCAGTGTCCCAGTGCACAAGCCATGGCAAAGAGCACGTACGGAAAAGAGTTGGCATAAAAAGCGGCCCAATTTGCTTGTCGAGTACCCAGGGCCCAACAGACAGGTAGGACCACGAGCGTAACGAGCGCGACCGTCACGTGCACTGTTCCAGCCAGCCCAACGCTGCCAGCACCGACGGGCACAGGGATGATGCTGTTTGTAAGACTCAAGCTGAGCACAAGCAAGGCAGTACAAAAGTTTGTCAAGCCTCTTGAAAGTCAAAAGGCACATACCCATGCAGCGGCGCGCCTAGCGCAGCTAGGATTAGGCCGCACGTCACTAGCATGCCTGGCACCAGCACCGCTAGCGCCATGATGCGCCGTGCTCCCTAGAATCGAATCCAACACGAGTGGATGCAAAAGTGAAACAGCCGAGGGAAGGATAGGCAAAGCAGTATGCAGCGGCATCTACAACCACAGACCTGTCGCATTGATTCCGCCCGAGGGGCACCTCGCTTGCCACTGGAGAGTAGGGCCAGTGCCAGCGCGAGGAAAAGCAGGCTCGTCGCGACCAAGTTCAGCAGAGTGTGCCCCAGCTCCATCTCCAAAATAGATTCACGACCATTCACCGCCGCGGCTGCCGCTTCTTGTCGCCAGCAACACCATGCTGTCACAACCGCCAGCCCCACTCCCGCCCCCGCCCGCGCCACCTCCGCGCCTCTCAAGCCACCATCACGCCCCATCGTCTGTAGCGTACCACCCCCCAAAAAAAAAATTCGAAATTTAAAAAAAACACGAAATTCGTAACACCATCATTTGAAAATTCAAAAACGAACGTTAAAATTTTGAATTCCCCTCACACACACACACACACACACACACACACACACACATTTGACATCGCCAGTGCCTCCGATTGACGTTGGGAGCGGTGTGTGCCGTGTGCCAGGGCAGGGCATTGGCGCAAAGCTGGCTGGCAGCGTTGGCACGAGTACTGCTTGTATGAAGGGGAGCCAGCCGCATTGCAAAAGGACGCGTGGAGATGGCCGGAGCATGAGAGCGCGACGATCATGACCTCAACACCCAGCACGACCTGGCGGCGGGTGCTGTATGTCCGACAAGCCTTTCCCGACAACTATGTCGATCCAAACTTTCTCGCACGCTGCCAACGCCAAGGTCAGTTTGCTTTGGTGGCTCTGTATGTTACGTCCGGTCCCACTGCATGCACTTGGCTCACCTACCCCGTGCCTTGTTTTATCCCAGCGCCGCGCCTGATGCCCTGGACAGAGCTGATCTACACGCGATGCTACGCCACCCTCAATCTGGTCGCCATCTGCCATATCGTCCTGCATTTTCTTGAACTGGATGGCCATGTCATGACCACAGCCTCGACAGCACCTTGGCTAGCAAGCTGTTGGAGCTGGCTGTTATACGCCGCCAGGTACGCGCGCCTTGGCGATCGACCTGCCAGCACATGATCAGTGCTGCGCTCTCTCAGCGTAGCTCATGTCCATGCTCCAATCGCTGAATCGTGACTAGCTCTGGCTGGCCCCAGCACCGAGCCCGACTCCTGGCTACAACCCTTTATGTCATCATGCTGGTGCTTGGCGAGCCAGCGCTGCTGCACCTCACGGTAAGGCAGCAGGGTTGCGCATCCACAATACTCTGGTGACGCCCTTCTTTTACGCATGCTCCACTGAACCCACGTCCACCTCTGCATGCCAGGCCTCAATCAGCTCGGACACCATCTATTTCATGACGGGGGCGCTACTGGGCCTGCAAACGCTTATCCTCCCCTTGCAGTCAGACGAGACTTTGGCTGTTCTAGCCAACAACGTGGGGCTTTTTGCCATGGTCTGCTTAGCTTCGCGCCTGGCCTCCCCGTCCACTCTCGTTTTTTTGGCCACCGCACTGCCCCGCCTCGTGCTACTGCCCAACACAGCCCGGACCCTCCTGGTACGCCACGCCATCGCCCTTGTACCTTGATGCGGGCCCTTTGACTGGCACTGGATACCTCACACCACCGTGGCTTGCAACCGATGAATGGGCTGCAGCAACGTCGAGCAACCCGTTTGCCCTGGTTAACCTTGCTGGATGCGTTGGTCCTTTTAGCACGCTCCACTCAGATCGTTGTGCCTCAGGCTTGGCGGGGCACTCCGACTCTGGGGCTTGGTACTGCACTAGCTCTGTGGCACTTTGGGGCATCCGTGTTGTACAACAACTGGCAGACAAACCTCGAGACCCGTACCCAAGCGGCGCTGTCCCCCTGAGCCGCGCTGGAACCACAGCTCCTCTTCTTCCCAACTCCTTCCCGCTGCGCGGGCCTTCTTTCCTCTTTTTGTACAAGTGTCACTGCCCTTGAGCAGTGTGCATGCTTTGACTGAGGTTGACCATAAATCGCTCGGCCAACCATAAATTGCCCTGCCTGCACCCCCTGTCCCTTGGAGCTCGCTGGACTCAAACCAGCACGCAGACGCAAAAATTGCTTTGTTTTTTTTAATTTGATTCAAAGTTTGCAATCGGTCGAAAAACAAAACCGCCGATTGGAACACAAAAAGCGGCCCAGCCGCGTGCAGCAGAACAACGTGTGATACTTACGCCAGCTGGTCGATACCTTTGAGGACGAGCAGCTCATGCAGCAGGTCACGCTGCATTGCATTGAGACGTGGGTAGACATCGAGCTATCACAAAGACAAAGACCAAGGACAAGCATAGGGTGCGTGAGCACGCGACCATGCGTGCACACGCAGAGCAAAAGCCGGCGCTGACCTGTGCCTGCTGTATCGACTCGGCATCATCCTCCTGAAACATAGTCATCAAACGTGCGTACATGAGAGACAAATCATGCCGTCGAAGGTGGCACGCCTGCGACCGTGTTACTGGATATACGCACCGCCAGGGCCATGACAAGATGGCGCAGTTGCAGTTCAAGGTTGACATCGAGGTGCTGAGCAATCGGGGACATGCTCAAGCTTGTGTATCTGCCACAACATTTCACAACCAAGCGGCCGGCAGGGGCACGGGGCAGATTGAGACGGAAAGCCATCACCAAAGGAAAAAACGTGATCAAGCCGTCAACGTGCGACGGACCTGAGGCGAAGACCACGGAAGATGGTGGCTTGATCCGGATCGGTCAGGTGTAGGCAAAACATGAGCAGGAGAGCCGTGACTTCAGCATCAATGGCCACCTGACGCGCTGCACCATAGGTGGCCAGGCGACCAGCCAGCAAGAAGGGGTCCCCGTCCTCGGTTGAAGCTGATTACTCATGCAAAGTTAAAAAAATGATGAGGAGTGGGGTGCAATCGTTGATACGCGCTGCGCGGCTCACGAGCCAGGAAAGCAATTTTGGTGACCCGCCTTTCTCTCGGTGCATGATCCTCATACCATTGGAATCAAACATGGAGACGACTGTGTGGACGATGTGAACGACTGAGTTGGCAGCGCGCCGATACCACTTGAGGCGGAGCTGCCAGGTTGGGATAACACCACAACGTCAAAGGTCAGGACATCCGCCCGCACATCCTTGAGCCTCTTTCGCAAGTCGAGCGAACAAAACAACCGAGAACATGGCTGTACCTCGCACTCCAAGGCATCAAAGAGACACTGAATGGTCATGAGCGGACTCTGAGCAAAGGTAAGCACGCCCGCAGCCACAGGAAGCGTGAGCATAAACCAGCAAAAGTGGCCAGCAAGTTTTTTTGTTTTGCTCGGCAGCTACCTCGGTCAGCATATCACTGGCTTTCAAGTAGTAGCGAACGGCATCTTCTAGATGTGAGAAAATCTAGATGGTGGTCAAACACCTTGAGCGCTGGACCTCACCACGACAAGGGGACAGCTCGTACCCATCCCTATGCTGAGGTGAGGGCTTGAGCGATGAGTAGCATCAGCAATTGACACAGGCTGACCTTCATGACATGGGCTAGCTCAATGCACAAGGTAGTGGCATAGGCAGCCAAACCGAGCTGAATATACAACTGCTCGAGGCAAGGAAGGGAGGTCATGAGCAAGACGGCAAGTACGTTGCTCAAAAAAAAAAAAAAAAAAAAAAAAAAAAAACTCAAGGAGCTGCAAACATGAACCTGAATGGCCAACAGGTAGCAGTTAACGCCGTCTTGGTAATCGCTCTCGTCGGTCACCGTCAAATGCGCCCGATCGGCGGCCTCGGCCGTAAACATGAGCTGGCCTACGACCAATCAACATGTCGAGCGGTATGTGGCAGTGAGCCGGTCGGGATGCAAGGAAATGTCGGTGCAGTCACTGCAAGGCGGGGGCGCAAGAGCTCAAGGCCACGGTCAAACCACCTACCCGCCTTGACCAGCGTGTCCGCCTCTTTATCGTGTTGCTTGACGGCGGCTTCACAGCTAAAGGCGCAAAGAGTGAAGCCAGCGAAACTACACGAGCTGTACCTGCTCACTCGCAATACGCGCAACATACCGTGCGGCAGCAAGTGCACAAAAGGCAGCATAGCTATTTTTGCCCTCTTCGGCAAGCTGTCCCTGAAGCTCGTGGAAAGACAGCGCCGCCTCGCCATGGTTCGGCCGGCGCATGAACCGCCTGCGCCAGTGCGCGTGTGTCGCCAGGATCGGCGGGAAGAGCAGGGCATGAATGACCGTTGCCCCGACTTCATCACGGCCAAGCTCAACCCATGACGTACTTTTTCAATCGCCCTTGAATCGCGCGATACGACTCGTAAAAGTCGGGCGCCTCCATCTTCACCAAGTCACCAGTTCACGCCCGACCCCACGTTGCCTTTTGCGCTAGTCGGCGGAAAACTACTCACACCCGAAAAGTTTTATAATTTGTCGTGTAAATTTTCACAAGATTTTACGAATAACCTTCAAAAATTTAAAAAGATTTCAGCTTCATAACAGCTGCTCGAATCGCAGATTTACGGACAAAAGTGGAAGCGACGCAATCGTACGCACTGTGCATGTGTTCTCTGTGCTTGGTGCCATGCGCTGCATGTCGACGCTTCTGCCACTGAATACCATATACATATAACCTGTTTTTTTTTTCTGGTTTTTTTTCTGGTTTTTTCTGTTTGTTTGTTTTTTTCGTATTTTTTCTGTGCGGATCCAAATATCAATTGCTGCTGCTGGCCCAGCCAGCCAGGGAGTTGCCTGACCCAGAACAACGGTCGAGAAGCATTCATTCATAAAAAGATGCCAGTGAGACACTTGGATCTCCCACCATTTTATTTAAAAATTACCTAGTTTTTGGTGTGCTATGGGGGGTCAGAGGATGGCTATGAAGCTGACTGCTCTTTACTTTGCCGATAGAGTCTCCCCACAGTGCTCTGTGATTATGGCCCCGCAAGTCTTTGCACTGCCCTTGCATGCATATCCGCCTCCAGTTGTTGTACAAATTGTGGCTTCATAAAATCATGATTAATTTTTGAAAAGCGCCGCTTACACCGACCAGCAGGTCGGATTGCTTCCTCATTAAGCCTGGGCCACCGTCATGATATGGCATGCACTGTGCAGCACGGTCAAACAGTCACTCGGTCGAAACGAGAAAGAACAAGTCAGAACACAAGCACCGCAGCAGCCCACTCCTCTACCCAAAAAGAGTCACGCAAAGAAGTAACAGCAATGAAGGCCCAACGAACACGAGTGCTTGAGCCGAACTGCAGTCCTCGTTCTTATCCTACAAACACCGGCCCTCACGTGAGGTTCAACTCGTTGTACGCGAGAGAGTAAGCTGTGGAGTTTTCAAGGGCCTCACCGGATCGCAGCGCGCCAGGTACAGGGGCGCCGTGTGTGACCACAGCATCTGCGCGCCCCGTTGAGTCAAGTCGGCACGCAAAACTGCAGCTTCATTGGACGAAGCCAGAATAGCATGAACTTGAACGATGGTGGTACCCGATGCCGCGTCCTACTCGTGACAACGAGAATATCATTGGAAAAGGCAAGGAGAGAGAGAGAGAGAGAGAGAGAGAGAGAGAGAGGGAGGGAGAGAGAGCGTGCGTTCGCGCGCGCAAAAGTAAAACATCCAAATGGAATCGTTTGGACTTGTCCAACATACCTCTGCGAGACTGAAGGTGGTCACGCTCGAGTTGGCCAGCCCAAAATTGCGCAGCACATCAGCCCGCGCCGCTGCAAGGACACCTGCCATATCATGTGCCGCTCAGTACGTGTATTGACTTGCACAGAAGCGGGCAGAGCGGGTGCAATCAATCTTTGGCTGTCTGCCATGTAATCAACACGAGCTCACTTTGTCGATGATCAAGCGCCCACGAGAAAGCCATGTTGGCAGGCAGCGTCAAGTTGAAGGAAACCTATTCTCATGTTGACACAAGTTCTGATGAGGGTCAAACTTTGAATGTGTTGCATTTAATTGTGATGTTGCAAGAAAAAAAAAAAAAAAAAAAAAAAAAAAAAAGCCAGCACGCATACCTGGCCAGGGGAAAAGTCGAGGCACGCATCGTAAAGTTCTGCACCACACGGCGAGCCTTGAATGCCACAGCAACTGTTGGATAGGAACTGCAATCGCCGAAATAGGTTGCGAGCGACAGATGCTGTTGTTGCCATTTCCTCATGAACGAGGCGCTGAGAGTGAAAACAGCAGTTGAGACTTGTCACCTCGACTTGCATGCTCTTGGCGCAACCATCCACACAGGCCGATGGCGAGTTCCAGACGGAGCATAGCTCCTGGTATGACAAAAGAGTTTGTGAACAAAAGCATCCGCACTCAAATCTCTGGGAAAACGATCGGCTTTTGAGCGGCCAACTATAGCCAAGCTAGCTCACCGGCTTGGCACAGCTTCCATCCACATCCGTTGGCGCACAAGATCCTGAAGGTTCCACAGCTACAGGCACGAGGGGTGAATGGACGGACACACGACCAATATTGAGTGGCCCGCCCGAGAGCACAAGAATCCGTCAAGGACATCAGCGCCTTTCGATCACTGGTGTAAGCAACTTACGCTCGAGATAGTACCGCTCCACCGTGGGTTGAAGCTGTGCTGCACATTGCCGGCCTATAGCCCAATGGGAAAGAGGCAGTAGAATAAGACGGCAAGAGGCAAAATGCTGTCACCCATGTCATACAGGTGCTTTAACCAACCGTTACCATCCACAGCGCAAGCATGCTGCAGGAGGGCCTGATAAGCAAATGAAGCTGCTTCGCCAGTGTGCTCGCGATCGGCTTCCCAGGCCCAGTCAAGTGCGGCACATCGTCCCAGCTGGGAGAATGCACATACTTGCTCCAACTCATGGTTGAGACCCACGTTGGCAGCATCTGCTTGCCGCAAACCACCATCGTATAAAGCATGAGCCGGAGAGGAATAGTATGGTATCAAAATGACATCGTGCAGAGACCCATTTGCTGCACTCACCCAATTCTGGATGTGTCATTAGGGCTGCAGCCGTGCTTTCGGCCCCGTGGGACCGAGCTGACGTCAAGTCAGAGGAGCAATATCTAAGCAGAACGGGCCTTTGCATGAGCGATTCAGGTGCACCAGATCCCAAGCACAGTTCGTGACGCAACGTTGCTCATACCTGTCCCGCGAGCGAATGCAGACAAAGGCGTGGTCGGTGTTGATGGATAAAAGCTGGGCATATTGCGTTTGAAGAGCAAGACGACGGTGATGGCAGAGGGTGCATAACCGGGCCAGGCGTGCTTGCTGCGAGGTCAAATTGCCCTGCTGAACCATGCTCGCTTGCAGCAAAGCAAGATGCTCCGCGGCCTCGGCGGAGCACCATGTTGCTCCATCCTGATTAGGGTTGTGACCAAGGAAGGGACAGGCGTGAGCATTTCATCGTTGCGCAAAATGGAAGAAAGAGAGAGAGAGAGAGAGAGAGAGAGAGAGAGAGAGAGAGAGGGAGGGAGGGAGAGAGCGCGCGCGAAGGGAGAGAGAGAAATTGAATAGCAGGCCATCGCTTTTGGAGCAAGCAATTGCACCTGTAAACATGTCAAAGCACTGGAGTACTCGAGGTGTTGGTAAATGGGCCAAATGCGACAGCCTTCGGCCGCCATGGCGGCCAAGCGCCGAGCTCGCTCCTCTTGGCAGGATGCTAATAGTAAAAATCAGGGTTGTGAGCCTGAAACTTGATGAGATCAAAGGACACGACAAGGGCAGCAGACCTGCACAAGTGAGCTCGAGGTAGGACGAGGACATCATAGAGGCGGGCTCCGTCAGGCAGGTTGAGCCGCCTGTTTGAATACATGGAGTTGGAACGTGTTCAAAAGTCGGGTGAGAACCGGCATTCCTCCTTCTGCAAAGGATCTGAGCACGGAGCGGAGGCACACACCGGTCAGTTCCCATTGCTTCCAATCCTGCAAGAGCTCAACGCATTGTTGGCGCGGAGCATTGCACTAAGGTCACAGGTTGTGGAGCCGGGCGGCCAAAAGCACGTGTGTGAGAAGCGGCGGGGAGATACTCGAAACATGAACAAGAGTCAGTTCAAAGGTGGCTCAAAATGGTTGTCACCTCGAGCTGGCGCACGAAGAGGCTACGGTGCAGCGCTGCACTGGTGTCAAAGCCGCAGAGAACATTCGAGGCGGCTTGAATGGCAGCTATCGCGGAAGTGCAATTGCTCGAGCAAAACTGGGTCACAGACAGAGCTAGGTGAGTCTGCCGAGGGTCTGAGCCACTAGCGATCAAGGCCGGACGCCTCGGGAGAACAGCCCACCTGCTCGTTGTCGGCGGTTTCGTTATTATTATCCGGGGGTACAAGACGCTCGAGGGACGAGACTCCACATGCCGCTTGCGCGTGCACCACCGCAGCGTCAACAGCATCCAAGTCACATGCGGCAGGTAAATTGGCAATCGAGGCGCCACAAGCGGCCGCCAAGAGGGCGAGCACCAAAAACCGACCCGCCAACCCTAGCATCTTGATCTTTCAAATCACACGCCTGGTTTGATGCTCGGTGATTATTCAACTGGCGACACGCCCCGGTGGCCTGATCCTGGGATCCAAGGATCCGACGGCAAGGCCAAAAAGCCAGGTTCTTCGATGCCTCTCCTCTCCCCAATGCGCGCTGCGCCGCTGCGTTCTAAAAAACACACCCACCTCAAAAGTGTTGTTGGCAAGCCCTGCCATGCATGCATGTATGCATTTGTCCCCTCTCTTGAGGCTTTGCAATAAAAAAAAAAAAAAAAAAAAGCACTCAAGTCCCCCAAGCCCTCTCTGCCTGCGCATCCCTGAGTCACAAGGCCTGGCTTTTTCAGCCTCGTGGCTCTCGCGTTGTCTCTCTCCCCCTCTCCCTCCTCTCTCATGTGTCTGAACAGAGATCTTACGCTACTTTCAGTAAAGCCGCGGCCACAAAACAAGCTGTGCATTCTTTGCCTGGTGCCTGCCCTTCTGTGCGTGCTGTCCTTCAAACAACACAGGCCGAAACCAGGCAGACCAAGAAAAACCGGGAGTAGGCATTGAAAAGAATCGGTCTAATTGGGTCGGCGATAGGAGAAATTGGTGTCATGGGTGTCAAAAAAGGGGAGGGGGCAAAAGCAGGATCTAGTCGGGACTCTCAGGAAGAAAAATCGGCAGTCCAATCATGCGGACCATCTAGGGTATAGGCGAGGCGATGTTGCTCAGGACACCAGTCAATCCATTTTGTGGTGTAGTCAAGCATGCCGTCGGGCTGCAAGGTTAATTGCAGACATTGGCCTACATTAACGTGGCGCAGGTTCACAAAACTCTCGAGGCCTTCGAGGCCCATGCCATTGAGGTCGCCGAGGCTAAAGGCCACCAAGTGTTGGCGGGCCCCGCGACGCACTTGCACTGTAGGCTGAACGGTGTGGGGATGTCCACCTAGCAAGCAGTCAAAGCCGGCAGCAAGAAAGGCCTCAGTGTCGTCCAGCGTCTGCTGATTGGGATACCATTGAAATTCATAGCCCCAGTGTGGGAGGCCCACGAGAAAATCGAGCTCATGCTTGCGACGCTCGGCCAGCCAGTTGTGCTCGAGCACTTGGGCATAGCGCTGGACCTTATGACAAGGATGATTGGGTTCCGGGTCCAGATTGAGCCAGTGGGTCCAAGCCGCAAAGCCCAGACGAAGACCATGAACGTGAATCACAGAGAGGTTTGAGGGCCCCACGCCCACCACATGGATGCCCGCTTGCTGTAGGACGCGAACAGTGAATTGCACGGAAGAGTTGGTCACATCGTATTCCTGGTCCATGGTGTGATTGTTGGCGAACGAGGCCACGATGCATTGATGTTTGGGGTCGAGATCCAGGTCGTGCACAAACTGGAGAAAGATGTCGGCGGACATGGCGTGCATGCAAAAGGCACGGCGAGGAGCCGGCAGCAAGGGGGTCTCCAAGTTGAAGAGAATCACATCGGCGGCTTTGAGGTCGGCTCGCATGACCGGATCCACATGAGTGGGAAGACGATCCAAGGGCATGAGGTCGCCCAAGGCCACCACGCGCACGGGTTGGCGCCTTGGACGTGGGCGCAGACTGTGCGCGTAGCTGATTGGCGTGGCGGCGGCAGCATCTGATTCACGAGGTGCTACAAGATCTTCGGGGGACATGGCACGCAGGCGGCCGTCGAAAGCCAGAGTAGCCATGTCCTGGCGCAACCAGGCCCGGAGCGGCCCCGTGTTGGTCTCAGGCTGCAAACAGCGAAATGGCCAGCGTGGGATATACCACCAGGGAAAGCTAAGGTCACGGCTTAAATGAAAGGGATTAAATAATCGGCAGAGATATTCTCCGAGCTTGAATGGCAGCTGTCGTGGCGCGGCCCCACCCGCGCTCAGCGGTCCGACCGTCATGTCAGCCAGGCTCCGCCCCCACGCCAGAAGCGACACACGGCGCACCTGCACGCAACAACAAAAGACACTATCCCCACGCCATACACCCTCTCGCACCCTCTTACACCAGACCTGCGGCGGGCGCGCGCGGGAACCTCACGCGCATTGGTGAGGCGACGTGAAGGCCGTGCGCCAGAAAGTGAGGCGTTGTGCCGAAAGAGAGAGAGAGAGAGAGAGAGAGAACGTGCATGTGGACTTACTTTGTCTGACATCTTGCCACCTGGGGTTGTCGGGAGTCATGATTTACTATTTTACTTTCTATCTAATGATGTGAGGATGTTGTAGCATTTTTTTTTTGTTTTTTTTTGTTTTCAACATTGAGAACAGACTCTCTCTCTCTCTCTCTCTCTCTCTCTCTCTCTCTCTCTCTCTCTCTCTCTCTCTCTCTCTCTCTCTCT